CCATATATTAATGAAGACTGTTTCCTTATCAGGTCCAAGGCTCTGTACAAGGCAGCTGTCCTACTGATGAGTCAGAGGGAAGTAGAAAATTGTATCATGTGCTTTGCCAACAGTATTTTTATGTGCATGAGGCCAAAACAAATTTCTTCAGATCTTTATAAGCAGGCAGTAGTCTTTTGTTGTAAGAGAGGGGTATTTCCATGCTGCAGACTGGGTGCAAATATTGTATGATTGTTTCCAGAGACAGTCATTTCAACTTGAACTGAAATTTTTGCAGAAGAATGCCTCTATGTAACAACCTTTCTTTCTAATTAGATACTGCAGGATTTTTAGGACCTGGAAATCCAGCAGGGAAAGCATTTGTGGTAGAATTAGATGTCGAAGCTTATTTTGAATCTGCCAAAAAAAAAAGAAATAGCAAAGAACTGAGTAACAAAGGACAGACTGTGTTTGATTACCAGGCTATAAACCTTAGCATGCAGTGCTTAAACATGGAGGAACAAATTTTCTAGCAGGCTGGTGCTATTGTGTAAAGATGGATTTGAGCCAAACTCTCAGATTTGAAACCCCAGGAACTTCAGTAGGCTGAGACCAATCTTTGGCTTAGGTTCATCTCAAATGCTGCAAGCACAGCAAAGGTATTGAGCATTCACAGTAGCAACCAGAGATCCAAAAGGGGAAGGTTTGTGCATAATCCAGTCACAATTTACACATGCAAGAGGCATATCAGTGCCAATATGAATATTTGTCCCCTTGATCATTTTGTTTGAGAGCATCTTTGAAAACCTGCTGCAGCATAACACAAAGGGAATGTTTCTGGCATGTATCCTGAGTACTTGAATCTGTTACCTACTAATCTCTTTAGGGGGAAGAGCTTTATATGGCTTCTCTGATTTTACATCAGTAATGAGTCACTTGCAGACTGTCCTCACCTCGGTGGTCCCCTCTGAGAGGCCTTTCTTATAACAACACCTGACATCAGGTTCCTGGGTTGAATGGTGGATTCCTGCTCAGAGGACAACTGGTTTATTGTAGGTTTAAGCAATGCTGCCTGCTGGATGGTGACTCTAGTTGGTAGATTTCCACACATTACCAATTATACCTAGACCAACCGGAGAGATTTATGTGCTGATTTTAATGAGCATTGTGCTCATTTATTTGCTTTCTCTTCAGCACAGTAAACTCTGGCTTCCTCTGAGTTGTGCAGCTGCTGGAAATGGTAATAAGACAGCAGTGTTGGTCACAGCAGCGCTATGTTGGAGATACTCATCCTGCACTTGCTGTATCTGAGGGTTGTGTCTGTAGCTGGAGGGGGGGGAAAGTTTAACATGAAAATGAACTACATGCACTTATCAGTTTATGGGGAAGCTCATAAAGGAATCCAGCTGATGGTGGCACTGGGTTGTTAAAACTGTTCTCCTGAAGAAACTAGAAGAAATGTGCACTATTCAGTTAGCAGAAATTGTCAGAGCATCCTAGAATATTTCCTATTCATAAGAATATAATGGCCAAATTTAACATCACATATACTTTGTGTTTCCTCTGGAGCAACCTAAATGAACGTTTATCACCCACATAGCAGCACCAGCATAAAAGGTACAGGAATATATAGAGATATGACTTTTTTATGTTTCTGCGACAGAGCCATCATCAGAGTATGCAGCCTCCTTGAACTGAGCTGTTTGAATGACACTTGGGTTGTGATTTATGCCAGTTTGCTTGACTGCGATATGCTTCCTGCTCAGGTCCATCTCGTGAGCAGCTGCAGGGAATTGAAGTTGATACTAAAGCAGGTGGAAGTTGATTTGCAATTCCCTGTTGGCAGAAGCAGGGTGGTGTGGGTCCATTCCCTCCTCAGGGTCCAGGTGTGGAATGGTGAGGAGCCTGGGGAGAAAAGTCTGTGACTTTTGTCTTGAGACCAGATGAAACTGTATTGTCACAGCAAAAATAAGTCACGACAAATAACTGTGGTATCACTCCAACTTGTCCTGACTTCACTGTTTTCCATCTCTCTGCACTTCATTAGAATTATCTGGTAAAATCTAAATGCTGTCAGTCTAGGCCTAGAAATGAATATGGGGTTCTTAGCAATTAGCATGAAAATAAGGAGTAATCCTGTATCCAGATTGCCATCATTAAACAGGAGACCTCTCCAAACAGGGAAATCTTTTAGAAGTATGTATGCGATACTGTGGGCAGACACAGTAACTTGCAAGGACTTGGGAGTATTGATGCCAGTCCTTTTCCAAAGGATCACATTTACCTGTGCTGCATGGCCACGTTGGTTACATGCAGTTCTCACACTGGGTTGTTCTCCAGTTTACTCTTCATGATAGGCTCTAGACATCTGGTGATACCAGTATAACTAACTTAAAAGCTGAGTCTTGGGAAATCCCTCTTATGTCAGGGAGTCAGTACACTAACAGGCTTATTTGAGCTAAATGTAAAGCTTTATCCTTAGGCTATTCACCTGTAATTCTTCCTCTTTTTAATAAAATTTGATCATAAGCTTTTAATAATATATGAGAAACAAACTGCTTGTTCTTTACCAAAATCTGCACTGTATTGTTAGAGCTCTAAAAGGTTAACATATGCACGATGGACTATTGAAACAAACTGCTGAGAGCTTTGTCGTAATGTCTGTGTACCAAACATTTCTCTGACTCATACTCCCACAGACCCCCTGCAGTGATTTTGTAAGTCAGAGCAAAATTTAGACTGCTGCTTCTTATCTGGTACATATTTCTAAGACAATGCCAAACAAAAGGCTAAATTTAAAAACTGACTTCTGTTGTCAGGGGTTTCAGGCATGCCAAAGGAACGTGTGTCAGCAGTTTTAGGCTTAGCTGCCACGTAATTGTGAAGCATTATTTTTAGAGGTGCTCCTGGATGATGAAAACTGAGAAATTTCTCTTGGCTGTTGGAGTTCCATTTACTGTCACTGCTTCTTGATTATTTGTGTCACTTCAAGAATTTATACTGGAATGGAAAAAAAAGTGCACAGAAAACAACTCTTTTGTTTACATGACAAAGTTATTGTGTCCAAAGAGAAAAATGCTTTTAATGGTTTCATTTGGCTTTGCATGCTCATATGGACAGCCGTTGGGTCCTGTATGTATATTCTGTCTTTTTTTTGCTACATTGTGAGTCAGTTTGCCTCATCCCTAATGATATTTTGTTTCTCTAAATTGTGTGAGTAGGTATGAGGATGGGAAAACAGATTGTGGCTTTGGCTATAGAAAATTACACAGAGACAGACTGTCTGATGCAGGGAAAGGAAGTGTGTTTGAATCTCAGATCCATCCTACATCATAGGGTCAGTGTAAATGAGCTGGGAAATGTGGTGATATGATTTCTTCCCTGCTCACACCTGAATCATATGTACATAGCCTAGTAATTTGAATAGAAGCATCTTTAGGAATTGTTCCCAGGGTTGCTAACTTCACCTTAGAGACCTAATGACATCTAACCTTCTGTTGACAAGGATGACTTTCCTCCAGTAGTTACCTTGAGAATACCTTAACAGTAAGATGCAGCTGCCTAGTTGCTTCTCTGAAATACTAATCTTTAAACTCTTTGTAGTGATTTTATTCTCATTCATTGATGGAGCTAAATATTTTCTGTTAAAGTTATTCTGAAGTTAATGTTTGGCAGTAGGATTATTTCAGAACTCAATTTTTGGACAGAGATTCTTAAGTAAATCTGGTAAAGGAGACTTGGAATGTATTCTATATGATTTCTTCAAGTATGGTATTTTATGTTGCTGTGAACTTGGCTACTTATATCACAGTAAAGACTTAAGTTTTTAAATAGTTACAGTTATTGAAAGGTACCCACCTTAAACATGTAGGTTTGCTCATGGCTGTGTGTCATCAGCATTGGTGGCTGTCATTTAATTGTCTTTTCCACAGCATTTCTCTTGCCCACTGTCACTTTTGTGGCTGTGTCCAGCCCTGAAGCATTGTGGATCTGGGCCAGTGGTTCATTTCTAGTCTGTTACTAATGTGCAGAATTCTATAGTCATCTGTTAGCAATTGAGCTGTGGATTCAAAAGTCCATTCTGTTAGTTCTTTGGTGATAAACAATAGGATTGTGGGTGATACCCTGTATTCCGCAATCACTGATCTGAACCTGTCTGTAGTAATCACTGCCTTCGTTTTGTCTCAGGAGAATGGAAAGATTCATCTGTGATCTTGTTGCTACCTTTGTTTTTTAATAAAGACCTCCCCAGGCTCGGCACTCCGTCCATACTGTCCTCTCTTGGGATAACTTGGTAGCTGTCATCCCTTTTCAATGCTGTGTCTGTGGTATGAGATTTGAGGTTTGTAGTCATCTTATGCTGATCAGCAGGTTCCAGCCATGGACCCAGATTCACGTTGCTCTGTGGAGAGTCAGATCATCTCGCTGATCCTGAAAATTAACTTTAAAAATATGCTATCATGTCAGTTTTTTGTCACCTCTGAAAAGGTCCCACTACAAGTGCTGTTGTGATGTATCCTGTGTCTCATTATCAAGGAGAAAAGCATGGTCTTATGTGTTCCTCACCGTCACTGTAGCTCTGGATGCATGAGGTGGTGTTATAGCGTTGAGCATTCTGGATCACAAGAGCACATGGAAAGAGGAGCAGCTGTTAGGGGAATAACGCATGTTGCTTTCTTCATACTTCTGGTAAAGAGTGAAGTGAGCAGATCAAGTTGGAAAGCCGTGTTTGCTGTCATTGTCTTCTCTGCCTCCAGGCATTTGACCCTGCTTTGGAAGTTGGTCTTGGGCCAACCAAGAAAAGAGCCATCGCTGTTGTAACTTGGAGTCAGCTTCGCTGAAATCATCTGTTAAGCCAGCACATAAGCAATGTGAGACCAGCATCAAGATTTCTTGTTGGCATTTTTCCGCCTAACTGGACTAATGGTGTTTAGCTTATGAACTTATCATCATATTAGATTTTAGTAAATGGAATTAAATTTATATACTGAATGTCAGTTGCTCTCCATGGCTTTTTTTAGGACGAATCCTGGATTTGAAGACTGGAACAGTAAAGAAGGAAGGTCAGCAGTCCTCAATGAGAATGTGCATGGGATCAAGGCGCTCTTTCATTTGCAGAATGAGGTATGCATTTACCTTGTATTCCTGTGATGGTTTTCATCCCATCTCAGATTAGATTGAGACATCTTGTTGCATTATTTGACCTTGAAAGTGTAGTGACACACTCCCATTAAGCATTTCCAGAATGCTTGTTTTGGAACTGGAGTAAAACTGAAACCTTTCTTCCTTTATGATTAATGACAAACAGCACCAAATTTGTGTGTTGCAGTTATTTTTATCAGTGTGGGGTGCAGGATGCTTTCCCCAGAGAACTTCATGACAACTTCACCCCTGGAATGTAAGCCACTGTCTCTTCCAGTCAAATTATTCAAATCAGTACTTTAGGAACAAGGCTTTCACAAGACAAGCTCTGTGTATTTTTTTAGCAAACCAATAATATTAAAAGAATTTTGAAGACAAACAGGAATTCAGTTGCAAACTTGCCAGCTATGTAGGAATTAACCTAAGCCTGGTATGAATTAACCAGATGTCAGCTGGTTGATGCTAGATAAATGAGTAATTGTTAGAGGCTTTTGTTTTGCAATTTTCTGACTTCTCCTCCATTGCTTGGGCTTCTTGAAAGAGATTTGGCTGACCAGTGCTTCTGGCTGGGACTTGTGGGCACTTTTGTTATTGCAGTGCTAATGGGATAAAATGCCTGTTGCTATTGCAGTAAGTTTCTGTCTCTGTGGTTAGTGGGGAAAGTACAAAATTGCATCTGCAGCCTATATCCAATATATATGCTGAATACAGATGATGCAAAATTTGTTATGAAATGGAACATGCAAAGCAAAATATTTGACCCATTACAGCAGATGCCTGTACTTATGTGGTGGATTTTCTTCCACTTATATGAGGAGGCTGAATGTATGGCTCTTGGGTGCCTTTTTAAGGGTTTTATGTATTTTATATCTCCCAAGGTCAGACTTCAGAGCTATAGGACCTCTTCCCTCTTAAGCAAGGGGAAAGACATAGCGCCTGAGAGAGAGACACGGGGAACATTGCTTTTTCTTCCTTCAAGCTGCACACAGTGATCGTGTGAGGAGGACATTTTTGTGGAAAGAAAACTAGGCCTCGTCCTGTTCACAGTTGTTCCTTTGCTTTCAAAACAATTCAGATCGCAGTTATTTCCTAGCACTCTGATTCAGTAAACTCTAGCACATGAGAGCACATGCCAGTAGCCAGCCCCATTGTTTTGGGTTTTTTTGAATTCTAGATTTTATTTTAATTGTTCATTCCTTCTCCTTGGCAGTGACTGGTGTGAAAAAAAAACACCCCAGTACAAGACCCAAACTTTGTGGGAAGAATGAGCTTTAAATAACGTGAACTTTCCTTGTGATTATCTCTTTCATTGTTATTGTTTTTCTTTTCCATTGAAAATTAATTGCTTTTACTTTTCAAACTGCTCAGCTTCAAATGGATTGTTAAAATTACACAGTTGGGCATATTTAGTAATATCAAAAAATGTAAATGGTCAAGTTTTAAAGAAAGCTACTTGACAGTATAAATAGTCTGTTCTTGCAAACATTAGTTCAGTAGTTGCTAGTGTTGTAGCTGGTGTATGGCAGTTGAAATGCTCTGGCCACAGGGAGCTACCGGAACACTGAGATTATTTTCTGTGGATAAATGGGGACTGATTTATATTCTCTTCTAGTTTTTACCCTTGTTTTACAGTATTTTGAAGTGTATTTGTACTTCAGCCACTCTTGGAATGCCTATTTCAAATAGTCTTTAGGTTGGGGGAGTGCAGGAGGGAAACTTCTTGTAGTCTCTTCTGTTCTAAAGTAAAAAGAATGTTTGTAGCACACACAAAAAGCTTAGCCTGTGGAAGCAGCAAGTTCTAAGAAAACATGAATGTTACTTTCTGTCAGAAATAAATTATTGTCTACTTGTATATGCTAATAAAGATCTTAAAATGTATTTTTATCCTGGGTATTTCTTTTCGGTTTTGAGCCCTTTCAAATATTAATTTACTTTTTAGGTGTGGAAATGCTCCTCTGGATCATTTACCTCTGAACAGAATAACCACCATGAGAAAAAGATACAGGTACTATTACTTAACTTATCACAACAGTTAGTTGCCATACACACTCTCATTTTCTACTGGGCTAATGCTCCCTCAGGGAATACAGCCTGACCAAACATCTGCATTAGCACACAGCACAAAACAGCACTGGGGCTCAGGAGAGGAGAACTCACCACTAAATTCAACTGTTAGCAGAGTCATTGGATCTTTTTGCAAACCAGATCTTTTTACACAAGTCACTCAAATTCTTTGTCTTAACCAGCTCCATTCTGCAGTGTCTTTCTCAGAGAAGTATTATGGAAAGCAGGTATGGCTTGAATAGCATTTAATGGAGCTGATGTAGTACAGAGCTCCGGGTTTGTTGTTTCTAACATAACTGACAAATACCAGTAAATCATTAGTAATTGTAGTTTAAAAGCATAAAGCTATTCTGCATGTTGATCAACACAGTATTTTTGTGTTTCTTTTTCATTTAGGAATGGCCTTGGCCCAGTAAAAGAAGGTGAAGCACAATATGCTGTTGTCCATTGCACTGGCTATATCAAGGCTTGGCCACCAGCAGGTATGTATCTATCTCACTGAAGGTGCTGTGCACCACACTGTCTTCAAGGCAGTTGAAAACCTGGCTCAGAGTCCTTTGCTGGTACAAAACCAGGCTGAATTTTAGTGGGGTAACCAATTCCGGCTCATTTTGAGAAGCTTTTGATAGCAAGAAATAGCTGTTACTCAGGGCCTCCCTATTTTTCCATGTGAAGCCCTTCCTGGTTTCATTGGCACAAAGGAACTGAAGGAATTGTCGGTAATGCAGAATTCCAGCAACTGGGATCAGAAGTTTTCACTCTGATAAACAAACATAAAAATGGCCTGATTTTAATAAGGTAGACACAAAACATTTGTACTACTAGAAAATACCAACTAGTACCGAATTGCAAGCACCCATGTATGGAAATGTGTAATTTAGGTGCATAGGCCTTCCCAGTGTTGGGGTTAGTAGAGAATGTTCAAAGATTGCATTAAATTCTGTTTTGAGGCTGTTTTTCTCGGAAACCAGTCTTGGCATATTGCTTTGAACTACAGAGAAAAACATTTGCCTACTGCAACTCAGTATTACATATGGGAATATTTACCTTTGAAAAATGCAAGGAGGAGACAGCAGAGCTCATCCAAGCACCATTATGAACTGGGTGAGCTGACCTTGGCGTTTGCAGTAGTTGGAGAGGCTGTTTGCAGTATGACAGTGCCTGCTGGCATGAAGCAAACCATGAGTTGTCCTGCCCTTTTGCGGTCGTGTACCACAGGCATAAATCACATTTGTGCAAGGATTATGGATGGATGCTAAGAGGTGGTTTCCACCAAGTCTGTGCAGTGATGTGCAGACACCAGCATACAGATGTGAACTTCTTGTTGATTTCCTGCTGAATTGCAGTTTTGGAAGAAGAGGAAAACTTTCCCTTTTCTTGCTAATGGGGTTAATATTCTTCAGTGTGTTGTAGGAGTCAAAATGTTTCAGTTTAATTTTTGTCTCAAAAGAGCAAGAGCACAGTGTGTGTAAATTGCTTAATAAAAATGAAAGCCTGGGAATTTGTGGGTGTTTTTCTTCCACAAAGAGATTAACTTTTGTATCAGTAATTCCAAACATAATTGAATTCAGCCTTTATATGCAGGATGTCTCTTCAGGAAGGTGCAGGTCAAATGAGATTTCTTGCAGCTTCTTGCTTATCTTGAATGAAAAGCCTGCTGCATGGTATGGGATGTTTGAAGGGATCTAACACGTCAGGGTGGATATTGCTAGTGCAGAGCTGCAAACTCATGAATTCATGTCACTGCTGGGTTACAACATCAGCAGTGTATGAATTCAGCAGCCATTTCTGCAGGGGAGCAGGCACTGCTGAGCAGGAGCATGACATGTAAAGGAACTTTGGGATCTTTGACTGCCTGGTTGCCAGTTATCGCATTGTAAGTTCTAGTGCACTTTAGTGAGGTGTTGTCCCCATCTTGAGCTCTTCCAAAACCTCGCTGTTCTCCCATGCTTAACAAGCTCTTTAATTTCCAGGCTTCATTAGTTTATGGGAAGTCTATGCCAGTGTATTCTTGTATTTCACTGAAAATCAAGTGGGAGTTTTCCTGCCTTGTGTCTGTCTCTCTCCAGTGTTCTGGTGCATTTCCAAAAGGAGGTCATATCCTGTCAGCCTTGCCTTTGCACAGTTAAACCAGCTTGCTTCTTCTAATGTCCATTCTCACAAGGCATCCCCTCTTTATCCGTGTGTCTTTTCTTCGCACTTGTGTTTCCACTTAACTTTTCAAAATGTGGGTCATTGGCACTATACACTCTTCATCCAGGTCAGATTATAGTAATGTATAATGAAAGTGGTATTTCCTATCTTGACTTGCAGTATACGACACAGCATGCTTCCCTTTTGTATACTGTATTCTGCTGGCATCTTAAATCCCTATATATATGTGTATACACACACACCAGGCTGCCTTTTTCTCAGTTGTCAAGTCCAAATCTTCCAGTTCATAGCAAAAATAGCTTTGAATTGTGTGATCTTTAAATTAATAATATGAAGTTTCATCCCATTTCTGTTGCTGTACTTTATGGCTGTTATTAGTCCCCAAGTGCATGCTTATGCATTTAGTAATGTTGAATTTCATCCCATTTCTATTACTCCACTCCTCAAGATCACATGGTGCTCCCTTATAATATCCCAGTGCTCCTCTACAATTTTAATGCCTCCAAACTATAGCACAGTCCTAAGGGATGTTTTCTATTTTGACATCCTTATGTGGAATTTCAGTGTTCTTTTATGTTGCCATCCAAATTGTTACTCATAATAGTCATGCTGGAGTGCTTTTCTCAGGGCATATTATACTGAATCAGAGAGTCTTTCACGCATGTTTATTTGCCCTCCTAGTCTTCCCCACTTTGTATTGGTGATTGTCATGTATCCGTTGACTTCTGAAGTTGAATGGGAATATCCATGGTCTGAATTGGTCCCCAATATATGTTTGGGTAAATAAGTGGCAACACCACTGCATTTATTCTCATTTCCAGGGGTAATTCAACCATAATCTGTAAAGCAAATGAAATAGCTGCAGCAGTAATTGAATTTGCTAGGGCTTTTCTACCCTGTAATAGAATTACTTCTGTTCTAATCAGTCAGAGGCAAGGTTCTGGCCTTTGCTTCATCTGTGGCTTCTTGGGAATAAATGGGTTTATGCTAAATCACAGCTGTTAAAAGTTCAGCTATGGAAAGGATGGTTTTAATTTATTTTTTAGTTGCCAAGTGGACACTGTAATATAAACTCATCCTTTTCTTTCAGAGATGCAATGTGGCATGTGCCTTACACAACCACTACACAGCACATAAAATGTACTTTCATAAATGAAATAACAACTATTTAGCAAATGCTCTCAATGTGATTTGTTTAGCACCTGTTATTTTCTGTTTCTGGATTGTGTGGCATTGTGTGTGGCCAATGTGTTAATTTTTATTTAGTCCCACACTGTGTATAACACCATCAGTACTGATATAGAAATACCAAGGCAAGAACTTCTCTTTGATCATTATTCGGGCAATAGAGTATCAGGTTTGAAAACGCTGATGCTGTGAGCAGTCTGCTAAGTCTCTTAAGTAATTTGGGTACTTTAAAAAGGTGAAAACAAATAAACTACAGACAGCTGGCCATCAGCATGGTGGCATATTTTAAGGACTGGGGTTTTGTGGTTTTGTTGTTGCTGTTTTTCCAAAGATCTAAGGTAGAAAGCAGATTCTGTTATGGCTCAGGTTTGTGGTCAGCATGAAAATACTTTTTGCACATCTAGCCTACCTTTTTTTTCCTTTTTTATTGCTTTAGTGAAGAAGCAAGGCTCACTTACTGGCAGACTGCCTTTAGCCCCTTTTCCACTGAGAAACAGGAGAGAAAACAGGAAACATCATGCCTTGTCTTCCATTTAGGTTCTGTTAGTTAATGTTCAGTTCATTTTTCTCCATTTCTCTGCAAGAGAAGGGTAAAGCTAAGCTCAGGTGAAAAACCTGGCATATGATACCTACACGCTCATAGCCCCATAAATTACAGGTTGGCCTCAAGTAATAGGGGTAAATTTTGCATAGAAGTCAAAGGAAAAAAGGAGTCAGAAATTCCGGAATGATATTCCAACCAGTTATTGTATGTTGTATTAAAGAATGACCATGTAGTGCTGGATTATTTTGAATAAGGTAGAAAGACCCCTTGTTTGAAACTGGCTGAGCACAAATTCCAGCCTTTGTCCTTCTGTTCCTGGCAAAGCAGCACAGCTAGAACAACTTGGGATCATTAACCTAGAGAGTGCTTCGAGTTCATGAACAGTCACAAAACTGAGAAATGCTGTGATCATTCAATTTTCAACTTATGGAACCGTTTGCTTTTCTTCTGGGTTTTGGTTTGTTTTTTTTCCCTCTGAGTGTCTCATTCCTGGAAGGAAATTTATCTTACGTGGTCTATATGATATTTTCCTAATAGGTTTGTTTTTTTTTCATGCCATAACAATTGATGGAAAATATTTGGTGGAGAGAGAAGATACAGTCTGTCAGGATGTTGGTAGTTTCCTGTAAATGAAAACCAAGGACCTGCAGAAAAACATACAGTGAAGAAAAAGCTTAGATAGATACTTATTTCAAAAACTTCAAATAGAAAGTCCCAGAATAAGGTTAAATTCAAATAATGTTGAAATCTTTTTTTCTCCTTAGTTAAAGAAGAAACATTTTAGTCTTCCAAGTCAGACTTACCGTAACGTCTTAACCACAGCATGCCAAAGCTGTTAGATTATTTTAACGTTTTGGCCAGAATCTGGACGTTTGTGCAAAGTACTCCCTCCTCCAATACAAAACAAAATAGTTGCTTGAATATTCTTTGCAGTGCTGTCATTTTCAAGGCTTTTTTTTTTTCTCTTTCTCTTTCTAAAGAGAGAAGAATTTCAGTTTTGTTGGGTTTCTTTCACGAGATTTTTCCTACCTATGCTGTAAACATCCACAACCTTTTTCCATTATGTATGGGAGATAAAGTCACGCAGTGCAGTTTCATGCACCTGCGTGTAACTCTCAGAAATGGTTCTGATGAAGGTAGCCATTAGCAGAGGATTGCTGCTGACCACTGGGCACTTAAATAGCATCCTTCTGAAGACTTATAAATCATTTAATTTTGAGTGTAGTGAAATAAACCCTATGATTCTACGATTCTAAACCCACAAATGCGCTAACACTATTTTGTGTTTCACAGAAAGACAGAGAAAAAAGGCAGAAAGTGGTTCTGTTGTGTTGTTAGAGCCAACTGGTAGCTCATTGGGAAAACTCTTAAGTTTCTTATGTCGGCACAAACACATGCCATTGCCCTGTGGGAAACTGTTTGCTGGCATAAAGGATACTTGGAAATTAAATATAACCTCTCATGACACTGCCTTCTGTGAGGCTCAGCTGAAGGCTGAGCTTTGTGAATTGTTGACTTCAACTTGAATCATTGAACAAACATAGCACTATATTTATTATTCAAGAGGAACATATATTTGGTATTGAGGAGTCCTGTCTCAGGGTTACATATAAAGAATGTGAATAACTAATGTATGTTTGTTTTGTTAATACTGCCTGAAGCATGGCTGCTTTCTTCCAGGCTTTTGCAACTTTTTCTTGGAGATAATGATGGTACTTGGTGATGTTAAGGAGAAATATTACATTTTGTTAAAAGCTGGACAAACTGGTAGTAAGTGCAGTGCATGTATCTTTACTTACCTGTCTATACTGAAGTACATTCAATAGGAAGTCCGCTAAAACAAAAGTAAATCCCTTATACAAATGCATCCTCCCAAAAAAGCACACCTACAGCTGAATCTTTGTAACTATCAGCAAACAATAAAGAAAATAATTTCCCTCTATGGAATGCTGTCAGTAACAGCACCTACATTGCAGATGAGCAGGCAGTCATTTTGGCATGTTTTTACTCTAGGCCCTTTTAGAGAAGGGTTAGCAATTCAAATTCACTGGGTCAGGTATAGATTAATTCGAGGCAGATTGTTTTTTATTCATAGGGTGTCTTGTGAGACAACCCAACTAATACATTTTCCACTCTGTTGCACAGACCAAATATAATCCACTGGGGGGTGGGGAATAAACCAAAAAGGTGAAAACTAGAAGAGCATCCCTTGCCAAAAGAGTGACATCAGAAATGGTGCTTCTTAGCTAGGTTTAATTTTATAGCTTGCTTATTGCTTTGAATTTGTTTGGGCAGTAGCAAGCATGGACCAAGTTCCTAAAAAGGAAAGCGTGTTTGAAAGCTGCAGGAAAAAAAGATTATGCAAAGTAAAAGCCGTCCAGCTGAGTGTCTTTGCTGTCGTTCTCAGTACACTGTGCCACTAAGGAAATGATTGAAAAAGCTTTTGAAGTCAAGGGAAAATACTTTAAATTTGTCCTTCTCAAATGGAAAACTCTATTTAAGAGGGATCTTTTGGTTAAGGTTATCTAACTAGAATGCCTACAGTTATTTCCTTAAAGCAGCACTTAGACCATGTTTAAGTGGCCTGATTCTCAGAAGTGCCAGGCAGACACCAAGAAAATCCTCTGAAGGTGGTATTGTAGGACCTAGAATCAGTCACCATCTTTGAGGTCAGACCCCCTATACTGAGGTGTCTGAATGTAACTGTATGTTCATGTTATGTATGTATGTTTATGGTGTATGCTTCAGGCACCAGCTTTTAGAATATTTGTTCTTTTGGCTGATGGTTGAACTTGTCTCACTGCTGAGTTCAGGGCCGAGGAATAAGAGATTCCTCATCCATTTCCTGAAGGGATGCAATCCTAGCTGCCATCTTCCAGCCGAAGTGTTGGGTCAACTCTTCGATAGCTCCAGTGCTTTCTTTCCTCCTATGGTTGCTTTTGTACAGTGCTGCATTTCTGTCATAGCAGAGTCAATGTCCTCATGCTCCTTCCTAAACACCATTTCATTTGTCCTGCTCTCAGTTCACACCTCCAGTGACAACTTTGTCAGGTGAAACTTTGGCATCTTCTTATCCCCTGCAACTGCACACAACTGTCAGTTAAGCATTTTCTACCTATTTAAAATTAAACTTGCTCATGTGGAGGAGTGTAGGTTTAGTTTTGGAAGCTCAGCCGTCCCTGTGCTCCACATGTATATGAGCAGATAGCAGCCATGTGTCTGCCAAAATTTTGCCTTAAATGGACACAGATTTGGGTCTGTTTGTGTCCAACACAGATACATTTGCTTCTGCTTTTTCAGGGTAATATTGTCTCTCAAGAGACAGCCAAATTCAGGTCCTTTGCCTACTGGAGCTGTCGTTAGCTTATTACTGCATCTTGCATTGAAGAAATAACGGTGTGTAAACAAAACAAGGAAGGAAAACAAAGTACTTCTAATGCTTCTCAAAGTACTTCTGTAGTACTTCTCTCAGCTGTAGTTTCATGTCAGTGGTTTATGCTCTCCACAGTATGCTGGTGTCTCAGAGCATGGAACTTATTGGTGTTTAGGATCTTGTTTGTGGTTTCCTTAGTGTGTAGAGGAAAAGAGGCTGGAATAGTAGTGTGTGAAATACTGAATCAAGACTTTGTAATTTAGCTGCCTGAAGAACCTGATAAACTGCATGCAGCGCAGAATAGTTGTGCAGGGGGGATATATGCGGGTTGTCTTCATTTTAAGGATTTTCTGAATGAGGTGAAGAATCTTCAGTGAAAGTTTGGATCTGTAGTGCCCCACAGAGGGACCTTCATTGGAAACACAAAATAATGTTTTATTGTAAAATAACGTGTTGATTCCACCCAGTGATATTTTTCACTTAAAGTGTTTAGTGATAATGTATTCCTAAGGTGACATACTGCCACCTTGATCTTCTTGTACAGTTTCTAAGAACACATTTCAGAGGGGTATCCTGTTGTTTGAAGGATTGCAAGTGGGTTTAGAAGTTAAGGAGTTATTTAGAGCAAAATTTTTTATGTCTGGGTAGCAAGATTACTGTGTAGAAGACAAGGGGGTTTTGCCCAGCTCTTGTAGTGTGACACTGAAATTCCTGCTGCACCTCAATTTCCCACTTGTCAGAAGGGACAATAATGCTTTTTCTTTGTAAAGCTCCTGAGATCCCAGTTACCTGTTAAAATCACATTTATCTGTTGGGAGCTGCAAATGAAGATATAACCCCGAAATTGCAAATTCCATTGCAAAAAAAGTTTGAATATACAATCAAAAAATACAGTTTTTTTTTCTTTCATATTTTGTGTATTTTATTTTATTATATAACTCAAAGAGAACTAAAAACTACCTGTAGAGTGCTATATAGAAACTGATTGTCAGATAGGATTCAACTATTTTGATGGAAAATAACTTCCTTCAGAGACTACTTCAATTTCATCAGCAGCATTTGTAGTCTTTTTACGTAGTTGTCATTTAAGGAAGTTGTATGCTGTCATCTTCTGCACAGTCCAAAGATTAACTTACATTGGGAATTATAAACTTTGAGGATCAAGTGGCTGTTTCATAATTGGTAGCTGCTTTGCAATTAATTTCATTAGTGCTTTAAAGTGCCTCTTAAATGATTCACTGCCTGTTGTGACTGAGTTCCTTGAAAAGCCTTGTGAAAGAGTTTACACATCGCTTAAAATAAGTCAGCAGTGTCACTTTTGGAAGATGTTTTTTTAAAGTGCTTCATAGGAAATTGCTATCTCAAACCTGGAGTTGGGAAATAGCCTTAACTAAAGACTTAGCCAACTAGCAAGTAAACAGTGCTAATGTGAACGTTCCTATTTGTGAAATACTGAGATGGAAAACAGTACACGTGTATGTTTTGAAATGATTCCTGTGTTTATAATAGTTACTCCTGTTACACAACAGAAACAAGCACTATTCACAAAGCATCCGCATTTTTTCAGTGTTTCAACTTAAGAACCCAGACTTAGTCCATTATAGAAAAAAGTAAAACCAGCTGTTAAGTATAAGCATGAAGTTCATGAATAATCTAGTCTCTGCCTTGTTTTCAAGGCTCGTTGTAATACATTGTTCACAAAGGAAACTGAACATGATGTGCATTCACTGACCAGATGAAGTGACTACATGGTTCCAGTAACATGCTGCAGAGTAGTACTCACAGAAATGTTACTGTCCATCTTGGTTTATAATGGAATTTTTGGTTCTGCTTTGTCCAGCAGCCAAAAGTGGTGCCATGGGTACTGTATATGCATATGAGGTATGTAGGATTGAGCATGACTGAGGAAGATCATCTAATCTGAGCCCAGAGATGATGCCTGAATCCTAGAGAAGACAATAATGCTATTTTGAATGATTTTAAGCATTTAGAATAGTATAGAACCAGTCTAGCAGCATCTCTGCTCATCTCAATTTCCCAATTATAACAGTGTTTGTTATTTACTCTAGGAATGACTATACCAGAAGAAGATGCTGATGTGGGACAAGGTAGTAAATACTGCCTCGTGGCAATAGGAAGGCTTCAGGTAATGCAGTCTTTCCGTGTACAAACTACTTCCAAAAGCATAGTCAGTGTTGTGGTTTAGTTGTAAAAGATTTGCACAAAGTTCTAGTACTAGATTCTAACTTTTAACATGCCTCCAAAATATAAAGCACCTTGATGTCTGTGTGCAGCCAGTCACTTGTTTAGAAAATGTCAACAGAGGAAAATGGAAATGTGGTTTTGGTGAATATGTGAACTGAATCCAAAAACAGCAGCAAAGATGCTCCTGGAAGATGAGCGTGTACAAACCTCATATTCTCTGGGGTGTGTAAGGATGGGATGTAGTAGATAGTGAAAAACATGGGAGTACAGGCACGGCAGGTGATAGGTTAAAGTGGCTCCCAAAGCCAGTGATACGCGCCTTGCTATTCTTCCATTCATTCTCTCTCTCTGGCAAATCAACTACTTGAAAAACTTTGATTGCAGGAGTTATTCTGAAAATGGTAAAGATAAGGTAGTCAAGAGGCACTTCACAAAGAGTAGCTTTATTCTCAGTGTGTATCATATTGTGCATTCAGATGTGATGTCAGCCAAGGGAACTGTCAGGATAAAATTTTACTTCCTTTTTGTCCAGATGGTTGCAGTCGATGTGTTACATTTTCTTCCTTTATCCATTGCTGACGAGAGCTCTGAGCAGGAGCTAGAGCAGTCACAGTGAATCTCCTTCACCGAAGCAGGAAGGCTAATTTTTATCTTCCCTGTCTGGGAATTCTGCCATGGGTGAATGTGTTTGAGCCTCTTGCATGATCTCCTATTGGCGTGCACTCATTGCCATCTGCTAGGATGGCATCACTCCTTCTGAAAAGGTAGAATGACCCTTTCATTAGAGCACAGGTGCTAAGCTCATTTTATCAGAGAACAGCCTGCACATTACTGCAAGTGTTAGCACTTCTGCAGAGCATGTCTCCATCGTGATGGCAGAGCAGCAAAAGTGTTGCATGATGCTTTTTAGGTTAATCATGCTTTTATAATCATGGGTAATATATTACGCTGTTGGAGAAAAGGAAGTTGTGGGGATTCATATGTTACAACTGCCAAAGAAAAAATGATTTCCAAGAAAATTACACGAGTAACATGTGGAGTGTCAAAACATCTGTTACTTTAGAAGATCCAGCAGGCTATCTGAGGAAGAGCAAGGGGAGGCTCTGTGGATGGGCTTAGTCATAGAGGAGTCAAGGTGCACTAATGAAAAGTCTGTTCTATAACAGCAGATTGAAGTCTTGCATACAGTGAACAGGCTAATCTGTTTCAAGACAGCAAAATAATGATATTTTGTTCTTTTTGCACTGGGACCTTGTTAACAGAGATATTTCCGAAGGCTGTAAGAAAACAGTAGTCCAGTTTGTGTCCTCAGTAGGAATCCATGGATGTGAATCCAGCTGTACTTATATCCTTACTAAATCCATCCTTCTTAAGAACTTCTTGTGTGTTTGTTTTCCTGCCATGCTGTTAAGTCTAGATAGGTGTCTTGGGGTGAGATATTTGCAAACTAGACTAAAGGCTGTTGTGTGTCATTTATTTGTGCTGTTGTTTTATTTCTGACCTCCTTTAGTAGTTAGCAGTCTGCCAACAGATTTTGTTCTTTAGCTAGGTAATCAAATTTGACTTAAGGTGACTGTTCTGTGGACTAATTTGGTCCTAGGTGACCAGCTCTCCAGTGTGCATGGACATGAATGGCATGTCGGTCCCCACTGAGTTCTTGTCCAGGCACAATTCTGATGGAGTCATTACCTTCGTCGACCCAAGGTGCATCAGCGTCATTGGCTACCAGCCCCAGGTCAGTGAGGCACTGCAAATATGCAGATGCTTTAACCCTTCACAGCTTTCCATTGAAGACAGTTCTGTGATAAAAAGTTAACAATGCTTGGAGAGAGTTTTAGTCCTGTAGATCTTTTCTTCTGCCAATCTATTGAGCAGTAAGCAAACATCATTTATGGCATCTGTTATCCTTTAGGCTTACATCTGCTCCTCTGAATAGGAGGCTAGTCACAGAACTGAGTAGAATAGTAAATGAAATCCTGACTACCACAACTCTCCCTTGGATAACTCTCAATAGTTGCAGTTTGGAAGAAAAAATTTCTTGCTCATTTATTTTTCCCATTTACTTTGACATTAGGTAGCTTTATTGTTTTCACAAAAACTAGTGCAATAAAATGAGCTGTAGTAGAGGATGTCAGTCTCTTCAAGACACCATTTCACAGTTATTAAAAGAAAACACTTAAAATTTGTTTGTAAATACATATATCTGTGCAACAGCAGAAATACAGTGTGGGATATGATGCCTACAAACCTGTTTGTATGATTCATCCCTGATTAACCGAGTAGTCCCGCTAAGGCAGGTAGATGTAGTGTCTGCAAGGATTACTTGCAGATCTGCCAGTGGATTTGTGCTGTGGTTTGGGGTTTTTACACATCTTTATGTTTTATTCTAGGATCTTCTGGGGAAAGATATTTTAGAATTCTGCCATCCTGAAGATCAAAGCCATTTGAGAGAGAGTTTCCAACAGGTGCCATGTCCTGCTCCTTTTCTTCCATGATTTATTTATTATTGTTGTTATTATTTTGTTCAGAGAAGTAGGTTTTATTTTACATTTCAAGGTATTTCTTCTGTTATGCAGGAGAAGGAGGGGCAAGATAGGAAACAATTTGTTGATCAGTTAGTAATCAGTTAAGCTGCATAAATGGGAGTTTAAATGCTGTGTGTGTTGGCTGTATTTTCAGAAATAAGTCAACATAGTTAAACATTTTGCTTTCTTTTTACAAAAATTTAGATGGTTGTTCACAGTTAGAGCTGTTCTGGAGATGCCTGCACAGATCCCACTTTGTTAAGTGGCAACTGAAAGTATTTAGCTCCCAAGATGGGCTGTTGATTTGAAAGTAGTTCTACCCCTCTAATGCTGGATTGTTTGTGACCTAAATTCTCTGCTAGCATAGATGATATACTTCATATGAGTTAATGGAAGTTACACCACTTCACATCAACAGAGAATTTGACCCTTTTTCCTACTAGGAAATTGGAATGCAGAGAGAAGTAACAAAAGATATACAACATATGGAAAGAGTTACTGATTTGGATTCATTTTTACAGTGGGCCATGTTTTTACATCAGCTATATCAAAGCCATTTATTCCGTTGTAGAGCTTAGTGTTACAAATTGGTCTGGGACATACAGTAGGAGTGCTTTCCCCAAGCCCTCTGCCTGTTGCTGATCTTTTCAACACCTTCCCTGCTGCACTAGAGAGCGTGGCATATTATGTTTGACTGATTACTGAGGTTCACTTGATATAAGTGGTTCCAGATTTTCTTGACAACAGCCTATAGCTCAAGCAAGATTTGATGATCCATCTTGCGTTGGATACTGAGATGTATTTTTAGCTGTGAAGTGTGGATATGAAGTGACTTCTAAAACAATTTGTATTTATTCAGGCATGGTATGCAAAAAGTGAGCCTGGAAAGCCTCTCTGGGGAAGACAACTAGATGCTGTTCTGTGTTGATAGAATAGATTGTGAAACTGAGGTTATGGTCTCTACAGAAGCATTGGAGATAGTGTAGGATACTGGTACTCCTGAGCTATTTCTCACCATCCCCTCCTTTAGGCATAGGCTACCAGCCCCACTGCTGAGCTAGCAGAAAAGGCTGTGAGCGCTCTGCATCCACTTCGGTGTCCCTTGAGCAGGCCGAGTTCAAAGAGCAACCAAAGACTTTTCAGGATGCTGGTTCACCGGGAGGAGCCTGTGAAAATTAGATGCTTTACATAGGTTCACCACACCCAGTTATCTTCTCTGCCTCACCTTGGGTGGGGGTGTGATGTTGCGGCTGAACCTACCTGATGGGTAGCTGTCACCAGGAGTCAGGTACTACTCCCCAACTTCTCTCCTCCCTGACCTTCCCACCCTTTCTACTGTGGTGATGCTAGCACAGATGGACTTGCTGGGTGGGCTAGTTAGGGTACTAATTGCTTTTGCATGAGACTGGCTTTCAGCTGCTTCAGCTCCCTGAATTTGTGCCTGATCGCACCGGTGGCGCAAGAACAGCAAGAACACATATGCTGTTTTTCACTAGTGCCCAAATGATTGATTCCATTAATTTATCCAAGAGACAATGACAGAGAGCTGCTGGATAATAACATGTCAAACATCCATCTCTGAAGTGATTGCCTGGGGCTCAGAAGGGCTGACTAACTAACATTCAAGTTAGTGACCTGTTCCACACAGTGTTCACCGAGAGTGAGATCAGGCAGTGGGAAGCTGCCAGAGTATCTCAGAACTGGGTTGCTGGGGACTTCACTGTCACTACTCGCTATTAGGCATGGGCACAAATGATTTGCTAGATCAGACCTACATGATTTGCTTAAGGTCATACAAAAGAGAGCAGAAAAAAATGCAGATTAAGTGAAAGTTTCTGTTCATTCAACCTGTGTCCAATCTATGAAAATACTGTGCTGTTTCTTTGGTAGGCAATTCCTTTTTAAGTATATTTTTGTTCACTAGAGCAGCAGTATGATTTGGCCTGTTCCTTCAGTCATGCAATAAAAGACTGAAGTAAACAGTTAAGCTATGCACCAGGTGGTTTTTATTTCCAAAGAATGTAAGAAAGCAAAGATTAAATATTAGCTTTGATATTTTTTTTGTGCTATTTTGTTTGTGTGCACTGGTTTAAGACAGTTCAGGATTTTCCCACTAGTGATCTCTATTCTTTATATATTATTACAGAGTTAATGTTTGCTTAATTCAGACTTCAAGACAATAGATCACTGCAGTTTGTTTTATTATTGTTAGTTTGGCCATGGAAGTCTCTTTGTTAAAACACAACTGTGAATTCCAATAACACTTATTTTTTAAAAACCCTCTCAAAACCTGACATTTCTAATTTGCTGACAGTATCAGAACCAGGTTGGGGCATAACAGAGGAGGGAGGAGGGTTTTACAGGTCTTGGTCAATTGCCAGAATCCATCTCAAAGCTTTTACTTCCTTGGGAAGATAAATTCATTCATCAGGGTGGGAAAATCAGGCTGGAATAAGATAGTCTCAAGGCCAAAATCAACAAATAGAGCTTGGTATCAAAGAATCCAGAATACAGCCATTGGATGTCCAGTAGGATGCTGTTCAGATTGAACGCTTTTACACAAGCTCTGTGGTTTCTACCCTGGGTGTGGTAGTAGAAAATTGCTGATAAAAGAATGTCGCTCACTGAACTGAACTACAAAAGTAGTAAAAAAATAGGCATTTGCCTCAGTATTACTTTGAGCTTTCTTGGGCATCACTAAAGGGCTTTTTATCTTCTATTTGCATTCTTTCAATTTAATTCCATACCCAGTTGATCAGATTGAAATGCAGGAAAAAACAGGATTGAAGCATTTCTTATTAATCCAGTTACTTGTCGATAAAAGCAGAGGGTTTTCTCCTTTTAGAGGATACAGGCTGCAGATAGCTAATAGAAAATAAATTCCAGTGGATAAGGATTAACAATCCACAATGAGATGTGGCATTTCCTTGCAGCAGACTTTCCCTTTTCTTCCCTGAGGCACCCCTGAGATAGCTTGGTGGAAAAGCAGTAAAAAATAGATAGCCCAGGTAAGTGCCAGCTGAATGACTTGGAACAATATAAATTTTCTTCTGACTTAAACCAAGGTTTTTAGATGCCACATGAAAGGCAACTACAGTGCCACTGTGCAAATATTGAGTGTACTTTACTTGGCTGCTTCTTAATTCTCACTTGATGCCCAACTATTGACTTCAACAAAACCTCATCTATCAAAACCAGAATTTGAACTGAGTGTTGCCAGATGTCTGTGGACAGTGGCTTATCAGTGTTCTCTCCATTCAAATAGTGGCTCACTCTTTCCTCTTTTGAAAGTCAGAATGTGTCCATAGCTTTCTGTAATTCAAGTTTAAAACATACTAGTTATTGCTGGGTTCTATTCATTTGCACAGGAGGTTGCAGTCTCCTTATATTAACCTTTCTGAATGGTATTGCAGGTTGTGAAACTGAAAGGTCAAGTCCTGTCTGTGATGTATCGTTTTCGCACCAAAAACCGGGAATGGATGCTTATCAGAACCAGCAGCTTCACATTTCAGAATCCTTACTCTGATGAGATTGAATACATCATCTGCACCAACACTAATGTAAAGTATGTGCCTTTCCAGATGCTCGTGTATGGGGTTTTGAAAGAATTTAAGCATTGCTGTAAAGCAGCATTCTGATTTTTTTTTTTTTATAGCCTGTTTCTAACTACTTTTATTTTTCTGTAACAGTGCAGTCTATAACAGGGTTTTTCTGCAACATAAGATCTCACAGCATAGCTGTTTCTCTGTGTCATGATCCTGCAGTGCTTCCAGGGCCTGGCTGCACTGGAGGAGAAACGTCACTTATCTGTTATGTCATTAGACAAGCCCATTGATCTCAGTCCAGGCTGCCTGAAACTAACACAGGGTTTCCAGCAGCAGACCAGCTGTCCTGATACTGGAGGAAGGTTAGCCTGATCCCTAAGCCAAAGAGAGGGTTGCGTGTCCATGCTCATTGTGATCATACCATTCCTTAGTCCTGGACATCTTCTTTTTGAGTTATCTACTCTTAATGGCCCAGAAAACTGGCACAATCATTTCCTTAGTAGGCTTGACTGGGAAGGGTTCCCAATACTCAGTTAAGATCTAGTGGAATATCCCCAAGTATGGGGGCAAATCCAACCCTTATCTTAAGAGGGAAATTACAACATCCTGTCTTTGAATTAATGTTTTCAGAAATCTGTCACTGGACCTCTTAGGAGGAAGTAACTCCAGGACTGTAGTGGAGGTTCATCACCCTGTAACTGAGCAGAGAAGCTTTTGGAGCCTCCTGAGTTCTGAGCCAGTTACTGCAGAAGCTAATCTGGCCTTGATAAAACTATTGCTTTATAATGTGGGGGTTTTTATAAATATTTCTTCTTTCTAATATAAACTTAATCTCTTCCTAAAACAAAATCTACTTCTGGTCTGACCAAAGATGTTTTGCCAAGGTTTTACTTCAGAAGAAATTACTGGTTTTCAGATCTCAACCTGTTTGACTACATAATGGAAATGCTGAACGAGCAGTCTGCTAGTGGAGATGCATGCTGAGAGCTCCACTTGCAAAACCAAACCCCTGGGGCTTTGGCATTTGAGCTTAGGAAGCTAATAAGTGTCTCACGGTGTTCCTTGGCTTGTTCCTTTGGACACAACTAGAAGGGCTGTACATTCACTCACTTGCAACCTAGTATTGCAATTGGCTTGCTCAGTTTCTTTTGCATACTCAAAAAAGTCAGGCTTAAACAGCTGAACAGTTAAGCTCATTGAAGACAAGCAAATGTGTCTTGAAATCAGACAGCTAAATATCTCTCTGTCTTGCACTGTGCATCAAAATAGATATTTCCACATTTCTGCTGTCCCATATTTCTTTTCCAAATAATTTGTATATGCAAAAACAGGCCTGCAAAATTAAAAGCAACTTCTGAAATTTGCCCAAGGCTGGTTTAATTGTGTTTTGTTCCCAGGAGTCCACAGATCAAAAAGCAGGGCTGTAGACTTACGTCGTGTTGACTCTTGGGAATGTTTTTTTTTGCTGAGGTTCCACTATACTGTTCAGCTTGGCATCGCAGCCCTTACTGTGGTGAACAGGGCTATGGCAGCTTCTGGCTCTGAATAACAACCCAGAAATACTGACCTAATATGGAAGTTGCCTGCTGCTTCTTTGACAGAGGATGTTCCCTCTTTCCTGTCATGGCGAAAATGTTCTAGTCTGATGGCAAGATACAACCCATATGCATCTGCTTTTGAATAGTAGAAAGAATGCATTATTCAAACTGTTTTCTGTTTTCCCCTGTTCTCTCCCACTTCAAAGACAGATTTCCAGAGAGGATTTACTGTAATGCACTGCTGTTTCTGCCCATTTCTGGATCTTTAATTTTGTTGGGGTTTTTTTTGCATGTTTGAGGCCATGTTTTGATTTCTGATTTCCTAGATGCCTCGTGAATTATACATCATGATAACTGCTGATTTCCACTTCCTTGTGAAGCTCCTGCTGGGACTGGTTGTTCAGCACTGACCCCAATGTGCATGGCTGTCTTCACATATTGGGGAAAGTATCAAATGCTCTGGGTCCAGCAACATGCTTCACATGGAGACCAAGCAGGGGTGCCTTCCACTGCAGCTGTACGCCGTTCTGCCCAAGACACATGCTGATGTGTCTGTCATGCTAACATAGCCAGCTCCATAACATACATGTTTGAGGCAGTTCAAAATTCAGTGTGACGTTGTAAAGACAATGTTGCTAAAATATCTAGGTTTAAATCAGGTTTTAACTCAAGATGGTTTAATGTCACAGTACATATGTACACCTGTGTGTGTCTATTAAAGGAACAGAGTTGCTCAGTAAACAGAATTTTCCCAAAAGACTGTAGAGGGCAGTGGTGGTTCCAGTTATGGAGGGATTGATTATATTTTGGTGGTGGTGGTTTGTTTTGTTTCTTTTTTTCTCTTTTATTTTTTATAAAGATACTCCTTTGGAGCTTCAAACAGTCAACTTTCCAAACTTGCTTTTGGTGTGGAAGGATAACGAAACATTAGGTTCAAATGTTCACTTAGTTCCTTGCAAAAAAAAAAGAAAAGAAAACTTCTCTCAGTTTCACTTGGGTGTAGTCATCCAAGAGAAACTTCCTGGAGAAATGAAGCATTTAACGTTTAGCATTTGTGCTGTGTTCGGCTGAAAAGAAGAGTCCCCTGTTTGACCACATCTTCCTGTGTAGTTGGGACTCTTTGATTTCCAAAAAGAAAGAATAATTGTGATCATTGTTTATTTAATATACAGATAGATGGAGCAGTGTTTGAATAAAATAATCTGTCATAGTGACAGATAAAGACTACATGAAAGTCTTTTTTATGTATATAAATATGTTTATAATTATATATATATATGAGAAAGATATTTTTCTGACCTTTATGGAGATTCTGATGTTCCATTTTGTAAGCCCCGAGTCCTATATTTGTGCATTTATGAATCCAGCAGTTGTCCTGAGTCTCAAGTCTTCTCTCAGAATGCACTGGCACAGGTCACTGTGGGAGGCAGCCTGCCCAATGAATCAGTCCTGCTTGTGGGAGAGATGCTTTCTGTTTCACATTCTCCTGGGCCAAAGTACTAAAGAGATGAACTATTCTGATAAAATTCCAGTCTATGATAGTGGTGCTGAAGACTTACTTTCTCATGATCTCCATGCTATCTGTGGTCTATCTGATCCCTCAAGGCTGGTGTTGGACAGACCTTTTCATACAGGTGAATTGGAGTTGGAGGTTAAAAGAAGGTCTGAAAGAGGATTTTACAGTTGCAGCCCCAAGACTTGTATTGCTCCCATTTTGTCCAAACCAGATGCAGGAAGCACGTGTGCCTGCATTACATAAACACAGCTTGGTAGGGATACAGTAGTATTGTTTCTCTCTCACCACAGAGACTGTTAATTTTAAAGTTCAAATCCTATTTTGGTTACTCTGATGCTTAGAAAAGGGACAGGTGACTTCAGTGTTCATAGAGAGAAAGAGTAATTTGGCTTAAATCCTTTCTAATGTCAGAGGAGCTTTCACCCAATCTTCCCTTTTCCTCCAAATACATTTACTTAAGTAACTTTGAAGTAACTACCAAATCCTTCAGATTTGCTGAACCGTTCCTTGTTCAAGCCAGGGGCTTTCCCAGTCTCATACTGAACCTGTGGGTGAGCCAGGAGTTCCTGCAGTAAAGCAGGAGTCCTCTGTTGACCCACACAATACCTTACTTGCTATGTTGAATATCCTGTAGTGCCAGGAACTTTGGCGTTCATTTACTTCTTGAAGCTGTGAAACTGAAATTGAAACCAGGGATGGTTTGAGTTTGGGTTTTGCCCAAACCAATAATAATCCCTTGTTCTGTATCATCTTTACAGAAACCATCTAGCGATTGGGTCATTGAAGGGACCTGCATGTGATGACTGTTCAGTCCAAAGGGCTGGTTAGATGACAGGGTGTGAAGCATCAGCTCTCTCTGGTTGGCTGGTCCATCAGTTGCTGCACATCTTCTTTCAGGTTTCAAGCATCATTTGAACTATTTCTACAGTAGCAGCAAACAGCAGAAGATACTAACCTGGTTTTGTATTTGAGGCTTACAAATTGTAGCATAGCTTGTACAGACTTCAAGGAAGATACTCTTTTAAGTCTTTGGTTTTTATAGGAAATGGTTTTGGGAGGTTGTTCCTAAAGTTCAGTGCTGTTAGCACAATGTGGTATTTATATTGTACTGCAGCTTAACGAGTATTAGAGATGAAAGATAGAGAAGGGCAAAGGAGCACTAAGTTAGAGCAGTGCCTACAAAACAAATAACCAGTAAGTATGCTGTTTTGTTTGGCTCATTTGTATGTATATGGCTGAATCAAGAAAACATACTTTATACGGAACAGAAGAGACCTAATGTGCTGTTTATTGACACACGCACCAGGTCGGTGGTAGTAAAAACAAATGAAACAGTGTAATTAGCTTTCACGTTAACAACAGGATTTAATGGGTGTTTATTGTCCACAGAGTGGTATTTAGAAAAACTTCCCCATAGATTTGCTATGATTAAATTGCCTCCCATAGCTCTGTGGAATAGTATGCATGTTATGCTTGTGAACAGAGAATTTCTTTGCATTCCAGAGGTAATTTTTAGGAATTCTCTGTTGGCTAAAATCGTGGAAAATCCATGGCTCTCTCATGACCTGGAGAGTACTGGCTTTTTTTTTTGCATGTTACTCACAGGGCGAAAGTTATTCTGTATCTTACGTGTTCTTACACTGTAAGGATAGCAGAAGGCTTTTGCCCATCTACTCCAATCTGCTGTTAGTTGCAGGTTACAGCCATTAAAGCTAGTAACTGGTGTCTGAGCAAACCGTCCTTTGGAAAATATCAAGGGATGGAAAAATCTGTTACTTTCTTCAGTACCTTGTTTGAGAGTTCCTCACATTCCCATCTGTTTGTGCCTAAACTCATTTGACTTTGTCTGCATGTTTGTCTCTCAGTGCCTTGACGTTTGAATCTATATAGCTTAAAACTTAGAAGAAGATTTGGATAAAAATCTAAAATAGAAGCCTGTGGCCAAAAATGTGTCCTAATTTTCCAGAGTTTCAAATCCATGATCGTGCTATTTTGCAAAATCCCATCTATTACCACTTGTCACATTATAGTGTCTCTCTGGGAGAACACCCACATGGTGTGTAATTCCTCTCAGATGGGTGATTTTTCCCTCAGAGAGAGGCCAGAAACTGTGACCACTGTCAAGTATCATTTGCAAGTATCAAGCTTTCTTGTCAGTCCAACTCCAATTTTATCTTTTATCTCTAAAAGATCCTAATTTTGATCTTGCAAAATTTGGGTGTGAGTGGCTTATTTCCCCTTTGCTAAGTGAGCAAAGAGCCTCACAGAGATAGTATGCTTCTGCAGATCCTCAGGCCAGAAGTAATCTTGCAAGTTGTGACTAAGTGGCAGAAAGCAACTGTTGATGGAAGGTGGAAAACATTTAGATGATTTTGCAGCTGCTGAGGTTTTTGTCATTACACAGGCAGTCTTCCTTGAGGTGCTGCAATGCCAGCAAGCTCCCAGCTTGGCCTCTAGAGACTGGGTCAGAGCCTCCTGTGGAGCTAGACAGTGCCAGAGCAAGGAACTCTGCCTTCTCCATCGCAATGCTGCTTCTTCAGACAAGGGATGCAGTGAATCCTTTGCTTTTTACAGGGAAATCTCAAGCTGTTGTGCCTGTTTACCAGCTGGACTGTTGGCTGCACGCTGCTTTCAATGGGAAGTTGTGAAGTGAAGGTGGTGCTGAGCTCAGAGGTATTGCATGCCTAGGCTGCAGCCTGGGCACAGCTCAAAGCCAGCGGTGTGCTGGCAAGACCCTGTGGCTCTCATGTTCTGCCATCCCAGCTTAAAATGGGACAAAGTGGGGTTTATCTGTCTGTAAACAGACACAGAAACCTGTGCTTAGGCAAGTGAGGTTCCTAATGACCAGCATGGGGATCATATAAGTCCGAACAAGAAAGCATAAATTTGCATTTTAATAGTAAAATTCTGTTCTTAATGCAATCCTTTCAAGAGGATTAGGTTTTATTTCTGGTAAGCTGTACTGCACACTGTTTTTTTGTGTAGAAGCTTTTTTGTTACAGTAATTTTAAAGTGTCCAGTCGCAACAATTAATATAACTGGCTCTGATTCTATAAATTAGGAGCTTTGAATTTGCCTCCTTTCAGAATTTTAAGAAGCGAGTGAAGAATTTGATTCAGAACATCACTGTGCTGGATATATTACAAGTATATAAAAGATCTGTGTGTTTGTATAAATGCAATATATAAAGGCAGTATTTGCGCATATAAAATGTGAATATACTGACTTACTGCCACTTGCGTGTTGTCCCTACAAGTCACCTATCAGTTAATTCTCATGACTTCCAATGATATTGGCTAATTGTCTTAGTTAAGTAGCAGCATCTGACACTAAGCACAAATTAAGTGCATTTCAAAGATGTGAAGAGTTTTCAGCACTAAAGTTCTTCATTCTGCCAGATGGCCCCAAACATTTATTGCCTCTGGCAGCTGCTTTTGAGTATTTTTCTATTGGGCTTAAACCACGACACTGCTGCACATTTCATTTTTCCTAAGTTCGTATGATTGGATTAAGGCTATTACTTCCAGTGATTTTTATCTCATTTAAACAGTGGATATTTTTTTGTTCAGTTCTGATTAGCATGGAAAGGAGTCTTGTGTTTTCTGTAGCAGCAGTCAACACAAATTGATTTTATGTAATGTCTTGATTTTATATAGTAGCACACAGAATTTATTTCTGGATAGTCAATGCCTTAAAAGCTTTCAGAAATGTAATAGACTCTGCACTTGGATCCTGATGAGACTAGAATCAAAGCATGTTAAATAGTTTGTATTGCAAAGGGATTTATATGCAGTTCTTTCTAGCTCAACAGGTTGTTCCATATTCATGTCTGACATGCTTCGGACAGAGCTTTGATCACCTTTTCTTATTGCCTGGCATAACATAAATGTGTTAGTGTTCCTGGAGGTTTCTTGTTCAGTATGATCAGTGAAGAGGTCTGGTATATTCATCGTTAACATGCAGAAGATATTCCTGGTGTTTTAATAGTGAATTCTTAATCCTTTATAGGGAGGTCAGATTCCATCCTACATTATTTGCCCCCTACATTTCTGTGATATTACAGCCAAAGTCTTCATGTGCCCTGGGGCATTCCTGTGCTGCAGCCTTTCTCAATGAGGAAGCTTTAAAAACCTATTAATTTCACAGGAAAGGATTTACTATATCACCTGAGAGACGTTTCACTTAGAGTATACAGTAAGAGACGTGGCTGCTCCTTTTTGTATCTTGTTTTTTTTAACAAAGTAATTTTGTCTCCTTTGCAGGCAACTGCAGCAACAGCAAGCAGAACTTGAAGTACATCAAAGAGATGGGCTGTCATCCTATGACTTATCTCAGGTGAAATCTCTCAAGTTTTTATTTTTGCGCCTCTGATCTTTTAAAACATAAAGCAGTCTTAGTTTTCAGAAAAACTGAAAATACTTTGTGACTATCCTTGAATTCCTTCTCATCAAATATGATGGAGGGAATTACCTTCCTCTGTGTATCTCAACAGGTGCCTGTTCCAAGTATACCAGCTAATGTTCATGAGGGTGGAAAGTCTGTGGAAAAGCCTGATGCTATCTTCTCCCAAGAGAGAGATCCTAGATTTGCTGAGATGTTTGCTGGAATAACTGCTTGTAAGTAAATGTGTCTGATGTTTAGTCTTTAACACTGCTAAATCTGTTACATGATGTGGAACACAGCTTCACAGAGCTTCCGGGAATTGAAGAGAACCTACAACATGGCAGAGAAATTTCCAGCAACATCAGCCTTCAGGACATTTTCTAGAATTTACCTTTAGTTGATATTTCCCCTAAAGATGGTGAGGGGTAAATTCAATGAGGGGAAGACAGCTTTGCTGTCATCAGAGCTACCTATTTTTATTCTCTTTTTCATGGGGACACCTTTAGCAGTGTTTGTAGATACTAAACATTCTGAGCAGAACTTGCCATTTCTAAGTACGTATTTTCTTGGACAGCAGATGTGAGTTCATCTCTAAAATAGACATGGATTAAGAAAGTTACCATGTAGTTTTAAGATAGTTTTTTTTATCATACCATCAGCTTTTACATTGATGCTTTCAGAGACACATGCTGCTTAAAGCGTAATAATATACCTGGTTTCTGGTCAGATTGGGCACCTCCAGTCACATTACCTGTGAGTGAGGCCTTGCTTTTTTTTCCTACAACTTCTAAACTTGTTGCCAAGTTCTTATAAGAGTGATAAAGAGTCTCAGAAATAGTATGTTCTTCTATGGTTTGTGAAACTATAGAAGTCCTTACTGAGTGTCCCAACCAATGTGTTTCCTAGCCCTGTTCTAAGAGATAGCAGCCAACTTGTCAGTGGGACAGACATAGCTGACTCAAAGTAGCCGCAGCCTATGCTGCCTGTTGTCCTGACAGACGGAAGTCATTGAGAAGACTGGCAGCTGAAGGGGTCATCTGAGATGTATCTGTAGGAAACCAGGCTTGTTAATTCCACTGCTCGTGGAAGAACTCATAAATTGTTTATTGTTCTTAACTGTCCTCACTGAAAAAGAGAAGTTTTTACATTTGTTTTAAATAAATCAACGTGCAAGTGTCACGCAGTGCATGAAGGAAGTGACCCACAGGGTTTGACTCCAGGGGTGTTGGAAGATGACCTCACTGCATTGGTTTTTTATATCTGGATTCGCCTTTTCAAATGGAGAGGGCAATGTAACTGCAGAACAAACTTGATATTCTGTCCTCCTGTTGCTAGGACTTCTCTGTTATTTTTGTTCATCCTTGTCTGTCTACTCTAACAGTGAAGTCAACAACTGAGGCCATAAAAGGGGTCCATTAGAAGGTAGCAAGAGTCCAACCCTAAACACCAGAACATGTTTTTCCAAGCAAGAACATCTTGCTTTTTGGCTGCCTTATTGGCTCTTTTTCAGCCACCTCTCAACTGTTTGTGGGTAAGGGTTAGGGTTAAGGGTCTGTCAAGCTGTGAGGTAGCTGGGAGGTTATATACTTGAAAATGCCATTTCTCTTTTCACTCTTATCAATTTACAGGCTATGCTTTCTTTGGGACATTCAGCCTATCTGAATTTCTCATGGGACCTGTGATCAAGGTCTTCTCTGAATGATAAAAACGGATGGTTCACAGTTAGAGATGAGATACATTGGCCAAAACCAATATTGACAAACCTGCATGCTGCCTGCAAGACATTTGCATTATGTTGATACCTGATCTCATTCTCTGCTACATTCTGTAAAAATACAGGTTTGCCATGGGGAGATTGTTGCCATGTTTTTAGTTATGTGGCCACACATAATTGAAAAACAAAAGTGGGGAGAGGAAGCCTGGCTTCACCAGTTGATGCAAATGCCTAGAAGCACAGGATGATGTGGTTCTTACAAAGATCTACTTTCTAAAGGCAGATACACTGGTCCTGCTGGGAGAAGGGCATATCATTAACCAGTACAGTGATGGGGTTTAGAGAGAAACAGGTCTAAGAATGCAGGTAAAACACCAAAACAAAATAGATTTTCAATGTTGTACCAAGGGTGAGAGCAGAGAATTAGTGTGTAAAGGCCTGTGTGGGAATACAGCTGGGAGAGGTGTGGGCCAGATTCAGAGGCTAAAGAGCATTCAGGGTAACTCAGGAGAGAGATTTCAAAGCCAATTTAGCTGCTCACGATTAGTTTAGCTGTTCCCTTTGTCCTGGCCTCATCCTGCAGCACAGACCCTGGAAGCTGCCATGACAACTCTGCTCCACTTGAGGAATTCCAGTTCATTTAGTGCATTCTCAATTTTGCTGGTGAGTTGTTCTCAAATATCTGCAGTACCCGCAGGATTTTGGCTCAGTCTCTTCCAACCCTGAGAGTTTGGTATCCCTGTAAAGAAGGTTGGCCTTAGAAAGTGGCACATCTTCCATTCTCAATTCTTCCTATTACCTACACAACCTTCTCTGGACCTTGTCCCCATTTCTCCTTTGTTTTCTCATATGAGAGCATAGGTTTGCAGCCCAGACTGTGTCTGTGCTGGGCAGTGTGTAGATAGTGAGGAATTTCTACAGATTTCCCTATGACAGAGGAAAAGCAGTGACAGCTTGCTTCAGTGGCCTACACACTCCTCCAAGGCTCCTGGGAGGTAATTTGAGGTAACTTCTTTCTTTCAGAAGATGAGCTTAGATTCTTGTTAGGAACATAACATAAGAAGAACTTAGGCACAGTGAAGAGCTGTTGTGTGTTGGGAGGCCTTTGGTGAGCCATGCTAACAAGGTCTCTAAAAGCTAGGGAAAACTAAAATATACTCTTATTACTTGTGAGTTGAATGGGCCTTTTGTCCAGGAGAGCATCTTGTCAAATGAGTGGGAAGGTGGGAAGCTGGAAAGAGCAAAGGGAAAAATGAGGAGGCAGACTTGATTTCTAGGCCTAGCAGAGGTGTGTAGCAACAAATGCACTTGGAAGTAATAAGGTAAGATGGGGAAGTTGAATAAAGGCTGCTGAGGCAGACCTTCAAATGATTTTCAGAGAAGCAGTAGTAGTGAGGTTTCCCTGGCCTTTGGGATAATCCAGTGCCAGTTAAATTAAGGGACCAAATGGCACTGTTCACCCAATCTCATTTCTTTCAATTAGAGACTGATCTCCAGTTGCCACATTAAGAGTGGACTATAAAAGTTAATGGCATCTCCATGTGTGTGTTATTCACTACGCTAGTCTGTCTTATGCCCCCCTGAGATGCTTGCATCCCGTTTCATGGCTCCCTCGAGCCACATAGAGGACATCATAATCCGTAAGAGACCAGTGTTTTGCATTGCCACAGCTCAAGTGGGCAGGTTTTGGAGACACTCGGACTGCGTAACAGTGGAGGGCTTCTTGTGGTGCCAGAAACATACCCTCACCTGAGGCCATCCCCAGGTAGACACAGAGGCACATGTGCATCAGATCTTCTTCATACCAGGCTTGTTTCATGTGGCATTTCCCCTGGGCAGACATCCCATCTTTCTTCCAGAAAATCTTTGTTCCCCTTTTCATCCTGTAGCTGGACCCATGCCCCCATCACTCCCTACCTCAGCCAGAGCCACTCTGTCTCACATTACCCCTCCTGCATACATCATCAGGAGCAGCTTCCAGCAGGCACAGAGAAAGTCTGTGCTGTGTGACCAGAGGGCACATACCAGTGGTATGTTCTTTGCAAACAATAGTATTAATGAGGTACATCCTGAGAAGAGGGTATGAAGTACACACAAACCAGCTGTGCCTCTTGTTTCCTACTTAATTGTCATATAGCCCTTTTTTGTCACTCTTAATATGTTCCACAGGACTTCTTCATTAAGCTTTAAGTGGGAAAGAAAACTTCCTGATGCATATATATATATATATATACACACATATTGCAATTCTCATTATATAATTTTGCCTTCATTTTCTCATCCTCTGAACTTTTTTTCTGTGATTTGTTTTTCTTCTGTAGCAGATAAAAAAATGATGGCCTCAGCATCAACAGCAGGAAACCAGCAGCTTTACTCACAAGGAAGCCCATTTCAGCCAGGACATTCAGGAAAGACTTTCAGGTACTGTAGTCCAGATCCTAAACATACCAGTTTCTGTCTGAGAGTTGGGAGCTGTTGCCTTTTGATCTCCTGGAAACAAAAGCAACCTAAGATGCAGAGGCTTTCTTTACATGAATGAGGTTTGGTTTGTGTACTCTTTTGTCCTGTGTGGTACCTCAGCACTTGGGCTAGGCTTACAGGCTGAGATGGCCTTGATATCTCTATTAAAAATACTTGTTGCTGTGATGATGTAATTGAAAAAAGCTAAAAACCATCAACAAATCACAAAGGGAAATAAATGTGAGAGGTGATGGGGCAGGCTTAGAGATCTGAGCAACATTCAGCCAAGCTAGGTTGGTGCAAAGTTTTGTTTTGCACTTAGAGCTGTCAGTACTTCTGCAGGCTGACTTGAAGAGCATCATTAAAGGGAACAGAAGATGCTTCATCCATAGTCCTTGGTGAGAGAACAGAGACATGAGCAGTTTTCTGAGGCAGCTTCCAGATGCACATAAGGTGGTGGTTTGTCATTTCTCAAGGCATTTTTGAGTTACTCAGAGTGCATGTTGTTGCCTACCAGCTGCCAATACAGATTTGCCTCATCTGAATTTGAGAGTTTGCCTTCATTTCCAGTGAATTTTTGAGAGTGATTATGTTTACCTTGGTGCCTTTCCTATCACCATTCTGGGACTGTCACACTGGAGTTTTGTCCTTCTGTTTTAGGTTGTGAAGGTGAAGGAACAGCCATTTAGAGGCTGTCAGTTCCAGGAATTAGAACAAATCTGCAAATGATAATTTTATTTAAACCCATGTGTCCTTAAAGTTGCTAATAACCTCAGTGGGGAGAAATAAAATCCCCATGCATGTGTTTTGTCAGATTAAAACGAAGAATGACTTAGGGGGGAATATGACAGTAAATTAAAATGTCTTTTAATTGGATATTGTATATTGCTGGATGGTTGGCTTGCCATCATGGGGTTTTGTGTGTTTTTTTTCGTTTCCTTTGTTAATTCCTGATGTTTAACACTAGTTTTTTTCCCACTGCTGTTCTATTACATCAAATAATGACACATCTGCCAGCATTTCCACCCTTGGTGAACTGTCCTCCTTGAATCCTCTCCAGCCTGGTCCATTCTAACAGCCTTTAGGCACTATTTTACGGGCTCCTGGTTTCAAAGTACATGGGCCAGATACAGTCCAAGCCCCTGCAATGATGGGACTTGCCAGTCCAGCTGGGCAGGTGCTGGCAGTGGGGGCAGCCCTTCCCAGCAGCTGCTGTGTGTGTCTCAGTTCAGCCAGATTTAGATGGACCTTCTGGTCCACGTTTGCCTCTTCAGAGATTCTGTAGCAGTGAAAAATAAAAATTTTTAAAAATCCCAACTAACAGAAAACAAACTCTACAAAGAATTTCTAAACACATACTTTGCTTTTCAGCAGCTTAAGAAAGAGAGAATAGAAAGTCCCATATTCAAATGCCTGCCACGTTTTGCTTACCACTCTGGGAGGGCTTTTGTCAGCCTTCTCAGAGGATTCAGATTCCTGCTTCCTCTCTGCTCAGCCTTGTTTACTTCTTTTCCCAATCTGCTCTCTTCTTTCTCTGTAAGACTGTGAAAATAGGCAATAGGGAAGGGACTGGAGAAAAGAATGATCTGTTTCAGTTGATGCACAAGAGCATTTTTATATGTTGTGTCTTCATTTATATTAATTTATGTATTTAGAGATGACATGTAAAATAATGACTGTATAATTTAATATATGAAATATAGAAAAGCGTGTTGACAGTGTATGGTTACATAGATTCAGTTGTTCTAGATTTTCATGAGAATAAGTACTAAAGTGGAGCAGTCCTTCATAGAATTGTCTTACTTCAGAATTTCTGGGAAATTTCTCTGTAGTGAAATTCATTGATTAGGAAACAGATAACATACAAATGAGTTCCTTTGGAAATACCTTTTTATTTAAATTCCAGAGCTATTACAATACCTTAAGTTTCTGTCTTGATGATTCTTTTGCCTGGGTATATAACTGCATGCTGCTCTTTAGCATCAGTTGGTGAAAAAAGGAATTAAAAGCTCAGATTTTTAATATATAACACATGCTTCTTCATTTCCCAGGCAGAAAACAGATAAAGAAGTGCTTATAGGTATCATCTTTTTGTGCATCTTCATTTAGTATAGCATTTAAGCAAATGCTTAAATTGAGTTTAAGCACTAATATAAAATTCAGTACCTGATTGAATACTCTCCACAGCCAGGTTTTTTTTAATGTATTAGGTATTAAACTAGTATGGAGCTAAGTTTTATGCACCGTGTGTCAGACTGATTTTATTCTTGCAAGCCCTTTCAAAGAGATTGCTGAAGTCTAATTCAAAATAATTTTGCCCTCTGTGTCTATTTGACTGACATTTTAGAATGCCAGTGTGGGTCATAGTTTTGTGATGGTTTTAAGTCATTTTTTTATCAAGACATATTGAACAATTAGTTTTAATGTGATTATCAAAATTTCCATGTGTGGAATATTATTCGTGCACTGGGAATATAACTTACAAATGAGGCACTGTTTCTGTTCCTTTAGTTCATCTGTGGTACATGTGCCTGGTGTGAACGACATCCAGTCTTCTTCTTCAACAGGCCAGAATCTGACACAGATATCTCGCCAGCTAAATCAGAGTCAGGTTGCCTGGACAGGAAATCGCCCACCATTTCCAGGACAGGTATTGATTAAAGGTGTTTTATTTTCATGGTCATTAAGGATTTCCAATCTCTGTGCTTTTTACAAAAGAGCTAGTAGACCCCACTTGTAATATGATTTAATGTACTTTGTCATTATCATTTATGGTTAGAGAGAAATAGATTCCCCTACTTCTGTTCCTTGGCAGGTTATAATAATTTAAGACAACTGCCCTGTGTGTAATTGCATTTAGTTTGTAATAGTGTCCATAATAGTGGCAGTCGCTATGCTGACATAAGTCCCAGTGGCAGGTCTCAGTCCTGCACTTACATGTGCACTGAATGAAGCGAAAGAGGACAGCTGTTTTCCTTTAGTATTAAGGCTGTGATAATCTTTTCTTGGATCAAGAGCTTGCGCCCAGCAATATTACCCACAGTCTGCAGAGTTATCAGAAAGGGGCACATACAAATGCAGGCAAGAATTCAGAGCAGAAGCTACTTAGCCTGATGAGCACGTCCACCAGCTCCCTCTGTACCCACACCTCTGTACCTGGGTGGTTCCCATCCAGCTTCAGGGACCTGTGTGTGTCTAAGTGGTGTAACTAGTCACTGACTGTTTCCCCTTGGATTATGGGGGCTTCATTTTGCTCCCTGTCTTCCAGGGGATAATAGCTTCACTTGAGTGCATTGATTGCCAGTAACAGTGCACAACATTAGAAGTATCCAGGGACCTAATCACCTTTAATTTCTGCTTGTGGAATTGGTTAGGCAGTGAGTTTTTCTTGGAGCTGTTGGATTTGTTCAGGATGCAGAAAATGGTTTATAAGCAGTTTCTGTCTGTAGCCTTAAATGTTGCTGTAGCACATGACTTTGGATGAGACACTTCACCTCCCTTAGTCTCAGTGTACATGTTGTACATGTTTCAAAGCGGCCTGCAGTGTTTAATCATTTGTGTAACATTCTTGGAGATCATATGACAAAGACATTATGTAGATTAAAATGGTAGCAAGTTGGTTTTTAATACCTTTGACTCAGCTCCCCAGTTAAAACAACACGAGTCTGTCCCTACTCTGCTCCCAGGACTGGTGATTCTCTCACTCACTCCCAAACCTTTTACAAGGCAACATAATTGCTGCCTGTACTTAGGCAGAGAGATAAAGCATCTTACTAGTTTTGGAACATCTTTGACCATTTACTCCGAGCACTGGAGACTCTGGTCATCTGAGAACTGTATATATTCTGTAACACATTCAGATAACCATGAATTTACTGTGGCAGTGCAAAATCAAAACACTTGGCAAATAAAGGTGAATTCTTTATACCTGTTCAGTTTGAGATTAGAAGAAAATCATAGCTCTGATACTGAGTATGTGTGAGTTAATAAGGAGGAGAGCTCTGTCTTAGTTTATAGTCTGTTGTGTTCCTTCTGCAGCAATGAGTTGGCTTTGACAGAAATGAAATATGGCTGAGACAGAAATATCACGGCTATTTGCATCTGCAGAGTTTCTATAGTCTTTGCTTTACACTGTTAAAAAGTGAGTCTGCTATGCTGTTCCTCCTCAGCAAATTCCATCGCAGTCTGGCAAGGCTCAGTCATCTCCCTTTGGGATTGGAACAAGTCACAACTACCCACCTGATCCGTCGTCATACAGCCCCCTTTCCAGCCCGGCCACCTCTTCTCCAAGTGGCAATGCCTACTCAAGCTTAGCAAACCGAAGTGCAGGGTTTGGTAAGTTTTAAATGACCTAACACAGAAATGCATATAAAAATGAAACTCCTCAGCATTAACTTCATTAACAATCCTCCAACCTTTCTTTTGGTGGGTTGGTTGGGAAGCCCAGGTAGGGAAAGGGTTTTGCATTCTGCTGTTGAGCGTAGTGGACAGACATGACCTGTTCCCTCCTTGCTGCATCTCCTCCATGGAACACACTTCAGGATATTGTGTTATTTTATGGTATGAGGGAACCGTCTTTCTTTTTCCCCAGTAAATGGCGAATACGGACATTCTCTTAATTTTTTAACTTCCCTGACTGCATTGCAGTGTTCTTCTGCCCAGAGGTGGCTTGTTGAAGTTTGGCTGGAGATAGTATTTTTTGTATTCCCCTGTGCTACTAACCTCATCAGTGCAGGTGCCATGTTTTGAAATGGTTTTCTTTTCCTATTACATGCTAATTTAGTGGCTTTCAGACTGTGACCCAGTGGCTGACCCCTTGGTAAGTTTTCTGCACTCCACCAGCAGAATAATATTCAAGAGTAAAAAATAATATGAATCCGTCAGTGGTAAACAGACATGAAAAATGTTGCTGGTGGGTAATAACGTGCCATTCCAAACAGCATAGGTAGCAGTGTGCTAATGTGTGTCATTTTTCTCTTGTTCCTTGAGAATAAAATGGGTACAGACCTGTTGCAGATCAGCCTCACCGAGTGCAGACCTGCGCTGCTTAGAAAAGGTGCATCGAAACAGCTCTTCCCACAGGGCATTATTCATGCCTCCATTTCCATTTGCACCAGGCTTTGTACATTTGTTTATGAGACAGCCTTGTATTTCAAGCCTAAGCTACTTGGCAAGAACTCTTTCACCTAATGAGAAACATTTCCTGACCTACATCAGTTTGGATACTATTAATAACTCAGCCTTCACAGAGACGAATGTCTTGAACCTCCGGCTGGCAGTAACTGTTTTGCTGAAAAGCAGCATCATTTGCCTCACTGAGTTAATTTCAATGTGTTGTTCTGAGAAAAAAATAACTTGCAGCTTTCTTTTAAAGGGTAACTTAGATGGATTTTATTTTGTCCCATAAAATGACTGCAGGGTTTCTGAGTCAGCTGAATTATTGCTTGTGGTAACGTCAGTGAGGGAAGAACTGTAATTATCCACTTCAGATGTGATAGAAATACATCACTACAGCCTGTTCGCTTTCCTGTAACATGTTTGCTTTGTTTGTCTTGCATGGTTTTGCTGGTAGCCGCAAGTATTGGATTAAGCATGTGTTTCTGTATTTTCTGAAGCCATGATTATGAGTAGTGATTGATTTGGTATGATTGAGTCTGGTTATCAGAGACCTGACATAGCACACGTGTGGATGTTTGGCACAGGAAATTTGGCATCTTTGACAGAGGGCATTGATAACTGGGGAGAGCCAGATCTACCCAGCTTAGTTCTCTGCAGGGAGGGGAAAACGGGCAAAAATAGCAGGAGGAGTTAGAAGGAAAATGTTCAGAGAAAAAGCATAAGCCTGGTAGGAAGCTTTCTAAAATGTTAATTCTTAGAAGGAGATATTGTAAAAAATTGGAGGAAAATTATCCAGAAATTTTATATATTTGGGAATAGTCTATAGAAATGGAGGGCAATATGAATCCAGCCTATGTGTGACCTGTGACTGTACTCATGAAAACAGTATGTGTAATAGGTGTAAAATGCGTGTGGCATCCTGTTGTTTTTTTCTTCTAGTAGACTATTTAGAGGAAATGCATCTCCCTGAATTCATCAGTTTAAGTGTATTTACCATAACACCTTGCTGTTCATGTTACTCTGTGACATTTAAATGGCCAGACTTTTAAGAGGCCATCACCATATGAACAGGATAGTAATTTGCTGTAAGCTGCATGTTAAAGAAATCATTTTTCAGTGTTAATATTGGAGGACATGGTAGACCAAAAGCAACGCTGCATTTAATACAACAGTGTCTGCATTTAGCAAAGCAAGGCTGTTTGCCTGTTGATCTTACTGGTTTTACATCTGCTTACAAAAATCTTAGTTCTGCTTACATATTTCCTAGCTGAGTAGGTAACTGTGCACCCACTGCTCTACAAGAATGTGTGTTTCAAAAAGAAAGAGCATTCAGATGACGCAGTTTGGTATTTAAGTAAAATGGCATGTAAGCAGGGGGGATGCTTTGAAAATTGTTTTCCATTGCCTGGCTTACAGTGTCACTGTGTGTTTTGCTGTGAGCAATTCACCTGCCATGCCTGTACAGCCACAGCAATGAGCTTTGCTCTTAGGTTGACCCCCACCGTGCAATTCAGGGCTGAAACTGGTTTAGGGCTTCCACCCTGCAGGGGCTGGGTGTCACTTGGGATCTGTTTTCTAAAGTGATATGCAAACACAGGCATTGATGGATGAAGCCTCAAAAGCAGGTGGGAGTTCTGAAGGAGCTGCTCTCTGACTTCTGCCCTTTCTTTCCCCATCCAGCTGAAGGTGGCCAGAGCAGTGGCCAGTTCCAGGGGAGACCTTCCGAAGTCTGGTCCCAGTGGCAGAGCCAACATCACAACCAGCAAAGCAGCGACCAGCATTCACACCCCCAGCCCAGCCAGACTGAGGTGTTCCAGGTGAGGAGAGTTCAGTGAGCCCAGAGTCCCTCTGACAACAGCTCAAAGCTGAGCTGAAGAACTCTGGCCCTCAAAGATCAGGCTGCTAGCAGGGCTTGGAGCAAGTACCTCTTGCTATATGGTGCCACAGGTTGGCACTGCTATTGGCTGGCATTAACTACAGCTGAGATGGTTTTGTTTTCTGCAGAAGAGCAGCATCTTTGCTGATGTAAAATGCTGTTTTCCCTTCTCTTTGCACCCTGTACTTAGGATTTATGTGTTTTGCAGGGAAGCAATGAAATAGTCCCAAGTAGAGTGTCTTTCTTATCCTGGTGCTGGCCTCTAAAATCCCAGACAAGTCCAATTAGACATCAGTGTAATTTTCTGTGACGATTCAAGCAGGAAAGGAGTCTGATACTGCATAGAAGATAGTGGCCAATACTTTTTTAAGGTTAAGGCCAGTTCGATATCAGATAGCTGGTAAAAAATCCTCTTCGACTACCTGATTTTTTTAATATTAAGAATAACTCGGGGCCTTCACTATGGATGGAGTAAGACTTCATAAGTTAACTAATAAGGCCTCTATGCTTGTATAACTTGTTTTTAAATTAGATCAAAAAGGCAGTTTGCAACAAAACAGTGCAGATAAATGCAGAAAAGACAATTCAAGCCCCAAGCAAGGTTTGAAGTGGGGCACCTCATTATCTTTTAGAAAGTAAATTCACCTGCAAGACCGGGCTCATGCTTAGTCACTCGCAGGAATGCTGCAGGAGAGACATTAGCCTGGAAATATTCCTGTGTGAGCAAACCATTGCTTCACAGAGGAACAAATAGCATTACTACATCTGGAGTAACTACCTGTCTGCATGCTCTTACCCCATGGCCCAGGCAAGAGTATGGCATCCCTCTCTGTTAGCAAAGTTTAATGGCTTTGCACATACTTTAACCCAAAAGCGTATTCAGGGTAATTCCATGGAGCCGATGGCTCACAGAGATATGGGGCTCCAAGCAGCAACTTTGTGTCCCAGCAAATGTCTTATGGAATTAGTAGGAAGGAGGGACAAGGGAGAAATGGAGAACTGGGCTCACCTGCAGAGCTCTTAGAGGACTGTGCGTTTGGAGAGAATTAGGACAATAGCAGGATGTGATGGGTAACCTAGATGAGCCCAGTTAAAATGCTTCCAAGAAGTTGCTTGCATTGTTTGTGCCTGAAGCCAACTCTGGGTTTGCTGGACATAAAGGGAGAGGCAAACTCAAGAGGGGAGCTACCCTGCTGGGTCTGTACCTGAGGTGACCTTGCTGCAGAGGCTCCAGCAGCAGGAATGTCTTTAAAGATGGAAGTGTAAATAGGTGAGGGCAGCTACAACTTCCCCTTGGCTGGGAACGAATGTGGAAAAACTTAAAATAAGTGCAAATTTTGGTCAGAAAATGAAGGCTGAGAAACTGCCAGCTGTGTTCACAGCCTCCTTCACCATCATTGACAGGGATGCTGAAGAGATCTCAGATGGATTCTAATCTATCTTATTTTGGGGTAATTTATCAGTACAAAGCAGTTCACAGTAGTTATTCCTTCACAGAGCCAACCCTGTGAGCTTTCTTATTTGCTCTTTAGGTTTTGTTTTATTGTAAGGATAATGAGCCATCCCTGCAGAACTTGGCTTTGCAGTAAGAGCTTGTTATTGTAAGGACTGACAGGAAAGGCAAGCATAAGCTCCGGTTTTCTCAGCAAGGGATATCTTTTCCCTGTGGCTTCAGTCTCCAGCTGAGAGGAAAGGTTGAGTATTTTTTGAAGCCTCCTGCCGGGACCTCACTTGGCTCAAGACACGTGGGAGCAATTGCCATGAAATCCCATTTCTCCCGAGAAGTTCCTGGTATTTCCTTTGCCTCTGCACGTTCATGAAGGTTGCTTGGGCATCTTGTTAGTGGGGGTGGATGTCCAGTCTAGTGTTCCTCAGGACTAAGAGCAGTAATACATTCACTGACTTGCTGGTGAGCAGGTTATACCCCCCCCCCCCCCCCCAAACTTATACATGCTTTCTGTGCAGGAGTGTGTGAGATGTTTAATACCTCCCATATAGCAAAAAGAGAGGTTTTTTTTCTCTCCATATGTAGCTACCTATTCCAAAGGGAGCTGTTTCAGCATGGGAGGAGTATGTGGCAGCCCAAATGTGCCTTATTTAGAGGAGCAATCCAAAACTTCTGTCTTGTTAAAGTCCCACCTCCTGTTCAGAAACACTTCAGCAAAACATAAGTAGCACCCAGGCCTTAGCCTACCCCCCTGCACAGGTCTGGTTTTCACCTTGTTTATCTAAACTTGTTTTTTTCTGGTTTTACATTGAAAAGATGAACAGGAAACAGTCTGTGTCTGGATAACATGTCAGGAAGTGACACTTCACTTTGATTTTTCCTTATCATGCAGGACATGCTGCCAATGCCAGGGGATCCAACGCAGGGTACTGGCAATTACAACATTGAAGATTTTGCTGACCTGGGCATGTTTCCACCATTTTCGGAGTAGCTTGCAAAGCAGGAATGGAAGTTCTTCTCCAAGGCCATTTCAAGTGTAATTTTGGCTCTGCTTTTTCTGTGTTGCATTTCTATAGAAGCTACTAAACCAGAAGACGCATTTCTCATGTTTTGGATAGTGGTGTAGGGCTTGCTCTCTCCTCCTTAGGGTGCATCAGTGCCAGCAGAGGAGCTCCAGCACTTGTTGGTGTTCATTGACAGCTCCTTTATTATTATTTTATTGTCATCTACCTCAGAGATGAAAAACTTTGCTTGATTTAAGAAAAAAAAAATCTCTGAGTCTTAAATATTTGAATGTGAATGATACCTAATATTTCCTTTGAATGGTAATTTTTAAATAGATAATGAAGTAATAAAGACTAACAAAGAAAAGGTAAGGTAATTTCGTGTTACAGTGCCTACCGCTCAATTCCAATGCCTTGCTTTAAGCTTAAGTTTGTGAAGCAGACACAATATTCTGTTTTCTTTTTCTTGTAGTTTTTAGGTCACTTTGAATGTGAGATTAAGCAACATAACGTAGGCCTGTCTCGCTGAAGATTCAGCTCTGCCTTTTCTAACTTAAACTTGAATGTGTGTACATTTTGGTACTTTATGTATATCTTGTGCTGTATGAAGTGATTTCCTGTACTGGTTTCTTTTGCTTTTACAAAGGGTCCATTCTGGAGTGCACTGAAAAGTTTGCTTATACACATGGAGGATTTAGGTATCATGGGAGTCTCCATCACTTAACATAGGTGTTCTTGCTTTTAATTCAGGTGGTTCTCTATTCAGAACAAACATTAACTTACATAAGCTATTAGTCTGGTTTTGCACTGAATCGAGGCCTATAACTCTCTGCTTTTCTCACTGGCTGCTTTAATTTCTATTGTTCTTGCTTTCTCAAAAATATCGCCTCATAAAAAATGACTGTAAAGACATCGAGATTGCATTTTCTATATTTGGTGCATTTCCTTACTGTGAAGTACTTTTTTATACTGTGAAACCTCACATTTTAACAGTGCAAGGTGGTGGCCTATTACTAGGAAATCATTTGCTGCCAGCAGTGAGATGGTTTTGTAGTGTATAATTTTTTTAGAGTGAGTTGGTAATAGACATCAGTTGGACTATTGTCCACTGCGTTCACAGAGATAACTTGAATTTTTGCTTGGATTCCCAAGCAATCCCTTCTGTTTAGCCCTGTTAATCCTATTCTGTTAAATACGGGATTTTCAGTTTACCAAGTATGTTGAGGACTCTTGGCTATTCTGAATGCTGTATGCTTTTTCTGCAGGGGTAGGTTAATCACCTTCCTCTTGGATGAGTCACCCACCATATGTCTTCATCAGAAATGAGGTAGAAAGTTTTTTATTCGGTATTTCATATGCATGGTAAGTTACAGAGGTTGGGTTCTAAGGTCACCATTTTTATCCAGATCATTTCTTCTGGGACGGGAGGAGAAGGAATTGTTCACGATGGAACCCGGAGTTCCCACATGCAGGTTGTTCATAACCTTTGAGGTTGGACAGTGGCAGCCAGCCTTGGCAGAGGAGGAAGGGGACAGCTGCCCTCTGCCTTTCCGTATTCAGGGACCATCACAGACCTTGAAACATCAACCCAGGGCATAGCCCCCATTTAGAAGGTCTCAATGTCCACAGCAATTCTTAGACCTCACAGCACTAGGATCTGCCATCTCATAGCTCCTCTTGAATTCTGGGGTGCCTCCAAGGGGAGGCACTGTGCACATCACACAGTCCATCTTGTCAGGATAATGCCTTGGAAAGCAGGCAGGCCTCTGTCCCACAGCCTGCTCTGCTCACACAGGTTTCATGCTGGCAAGCAATGCAGGTGGCTGGGCTGCAGCAAACATGACCCAGGGACGTGGCTTTAACAGCCATATCGTGATGTTCCCATCTGGCTTTGCTTTCCTGACCTTCTCTGAGAAGAGCATGCAGGTTTCAGTATCCAGGAAGAGTCCTTCCTACTGTTTCATGTGCTAAATCTGGGACCGATCTCTTACCCTGTGGGCTGAGGCTAAGGACTCTTTATGTTTCTAGATACAGTACTGGAGAGGCCTCAGATCTCCTGGTCTGTACTTGCCTCACCAGAATCACACTGAGAACAAACAAAAATTTCGTATATCTCTTCTCTGCCAGAGATTGGGAAAATACCTTCTTAGGTGAGCAAGCCATGCACTACTCTTTTAAATCCATGCATGTTTATTCTCTTGGAGCCCTCTCCCTTTCGCATTCACGATGAATGACTGCTCATTGAATCAGATGGGCAAAGCTCTGCTATCCCAGAATGAAATTCATTGACCTCTGTAAATGGTGCCTATATGCTGCACTAGCTGAGCAAGGTGGTCAGCATCTGTACAATGGAGCATGCTTTTGAAAGGGGCTGATTGCCAGGGAGAAAGCAGTAGAGGAGCAGTTTGTATCTCTGCACAGGAGATGCTTGACATGATGTAAATGTCACTTCTTCTAAAATGTTTAAAAATATTTCTCCATAAAGTGAAAAATTATTTGAAAAAAGTGCTGCTCTTCTTTTCTTTTATTTTACCCAACAAACTGCTGTAAGTGTAGTTACAATATACTTTGTTCCTGAATTCAATCTAAAAATAAGGTTTTTAAAGTAATTTTCTGTATCCTAGCATCAGCGATGCTATCTTCCTCAGTGTGTCATGATTTTTATACTACTGTAGAAGGCTTCGCACGTACAGCAGTTGGTTGTGCAGTTAGAAGTGCACTGTTAGAATTTCAAGCACATCTCTTTTTTGGTTTTGTTTTTTTAAATACAGTATTAGTTTTTTAAAGCCAGTACGCCTGGGGCATCAGAGCATGGACTGCTGCTCGCCTTGTAGACCACTCCTGCCTTTCTGGTTGGGAAAGGGGATGGCTACTCCATTAAGGTGCAGTCCAGATAGTGCCAAGTTTGGGTTTTCCCTCTGAGCCATTATCATCTGCCACCAGCGCTAGTGCTTTCTTCGTGGCATTTCCACCTTCCTTGCCTTCCCTCCCATTCCCAGCCATCCCATCTCCGCAGCACTTTCCCGTGCCCCAATGGGAGGTGTTGTGGTGCCATTCCCGAGCCAGCGAGGAGGGAGCACTTAACAAGCTTCAGGAGTTTGGCAACTCTGTGCTTCTGACCGAGCGAATGAGCAAGTTCAGCGTTTGCTACTGCTGCTGGGCAGCCCGCGCTGCCCTCGCCGTGTGCTGCTGTCGTGTCAGTGGCTTGCTCCTCTGAAACAGCCTCATCCCAGGTTTTGTGGCCAAAACAAGCTGTGTAGCGTTGGCTGTGCTGTATCTTTTTATCACGTGTTTGGTTAGTGAAGCAACTTATTTATCCTATAGCTGAAGTTATAAAGTGCATTTGGAATGCTAACGTTCTTATCACGTGCCGTTGGTGTAGCTTTGCTGACACTGTGGCTGCCGGTTTCCAGAATTACACAGGTGGTGGACTTCTTGTTTCTTTTGTGTTTTTTAAGCTGGAAATAAAGCTGTCACTCCTGATCGAGCTGTGTTGCGAACATGGTGTTTCCTGACACTGGATCTTTTGGGTTTTAAGCTGGTGAAGCAAGAAACTGCAAATAGTAATGGTCTGGGTGAGTTATTTCAATGCCCCGCAGGCATGTAGGCTGAGAAGATTTTAGATACTAAAATACTTACATTAGTTTATTCAGACAAGCAATCCTGTTTAACAAGAGGGACTCCATCACATTACCTGTTACAAGTGCTACTGGCAGTACCTATGGTGATGCTTTAACCAGATAGTTCCATTTGTAGCTTTGTTGCCTTTTTTGTCGTTTTGAAGTACAGTATGAAACTGTAAATACTTCTTGCAGTACTGCCTTTTTAACTCTTAATTACTTTGGGCACAGTGTTAAATAGTGTTGGATTTACCCAATTGCTATGACATATATTTTTATACATAGGTGTACTCTTTCTTCGAGAATAATACAGCCATTTTGTCATTAATGCCTTATCAGTGTCATACTGCTGTTGCTCTTTGTTTGCAAGGTATCGAGTGAACTAATTCCTACTTCAGATATTTTCTTGGCAGTGCTCAAGTTTGGCTTCGGATGATTTTTTTGCCAGAGTCCCATTTTTCACAGTTGTTGGCTGTGAGGAGAATGTGGACTTGGTTTTGTTTCTGTTGAAGGAGCAAAGAAAAGGTGATGGCATCTAATTGTCTTTAGAAGGTCAGTCTTTTCCTACTCTAAACCGGAGTGCATTTCATGGAACTGATGACTGCGGCACTGATTACTTTGTGTAGATTAATAGTCTTTAAAAATAAAAAAGAAAATAGAGAAAAGAAAAAAAAAGAAAAATAAAACAACTCCAAAAATGGGCTTCTGTCATTGTTAGGCACTTGGTTACTTATCTGTTTAAACTCTTCATATTGATGTGAAATTGTGCTGTGGATAAAGTGTATTTTGTACTTCTGAATGTTCTATATTTATGACTAACAAGTACAGAATCAGTTGTGTGTATGTATAACTAATAACTGCCTTTTTAAATTTCATTAAAATAAAGATGTCATGAGGTGTTGTTAATCCCTGTCTTTGTGTAAATAAGTAAGATAGGCTGTTGGGAACGGTCAGGTAGGAAATAACCCTGAATCTTAAGATTCATGCCAAATATCCGAAGATTAAGCACTGATCTTTGTAATCTCTTCCTATGCTGTGTGCTCATGGACGGGAAGTTCCCCTTTTATCTCTCTTGTGCAAAGGCTATCCAGAGGGAATGGGAGATCTCAGCTTTTGAAAGAAGTTCCAGAAGAACATCATTAACAGCCCTGTTCTGCTGATGACACGGAGGGGTGTGTGAACTGGTATCTGTATTGTGGAGGGTTTCATTAGAGCACCATTGGTTTACAGTTAATTCAGAGGCTGTGGCAATTTTATTCACTCACTGGGGTGGTAACGCAGTGGTTTCCTTATCCACCGTTAGGTCTCATTGTTCAAAGTTTAAAAATGCTTGTATCCTTCCCACAAACATTCTGGTGACCTTTTCAGACTTTCTTTGTAAAGCACATTTGCCTTTCACTGTGGTGCTTCATTGTTTAACAGTGTGTTTCTTTGTCGACTTGACAGTTTGTAAGCGGGATTTACCTTGCTGATAAATCCCAAAAGCTGATGACTGGACCATGGCAGGAACTGAAGATGCTGTGCTCTGGCGCCTGCCTTCCTGGTGCAGGGTAGGTGGTGTTTTCACAGCTCTGACTGCATTTTCAGTCATCTTCATTCTGGAGAACAGACATGGGCTCTGCTGGGAGCTGATGGGAAACCTGCGGTCAAAGCAGGACTCTGGGATGTGCTTAATCCAATGCAGCCACCAGCCCCATCTGCTCTGTTGGGCTCTGCTCACCAAATGCTCATCCCAGAGAGACAGGTTGATTAGTGAAAATGTTCCATTCTTGCTGTTCACCTGTGAAAATTGGGTTTTCAACAGTGATATTCTTTTGGCATTTCCCCAGATGCTTGCGAACCTCTTTGTTGAATGGGCATGTGCCAGACCATGAGCCCCATTTGGAAGTGCGGCGTGCCTTCAGTGTGGTGGCTGCTTGGTGCTTTTTTGGTGCATTTAAATAAGCTCTTAGTGAATGTTGAAGCACATTATCCAAACAGAAAGGCATATGCAGGACGGATGTAGCACCAAAGACAAGCAGAGTATGGAGGGGTTGGGCTGTGTTTAGGGTTGGGCTGGCTTAGGATCCCTCCTTTCAGATTTAGCATCATTAACCTGTGATCCCATGTGCTAAATCAAGTGTACTTTTGGGCACCAGGGTGACAACTGGGTGTGGAAGTGCTAAGAACTATTAATTTTGGTGTGGAATCTGTGTTTGGAGATACTGGATATGAAATGGAGCCAAATGTCCAGTGACAAATAGTCGCTGGAGCTCGGTGTGGCAAGACACCATGGTAGAAATCTACATAAAGGCTGGTACACTGGAAAGAAATGCAGTTGAGGTTCACTATATCCCTACACTTAGCATCTTTGGCTCTGCGTACTGGCACTACTGACTCATAACAACAGCTCAAGTCTTCATTATGATGATAGAAATATATTTTTCTTAATTTTTCCATGGGAGCTAATTCGTTGCCACATTTCCATCAATATGCCATCATAGTTCAGGAAGTATTACTCATTGAATTTTCCCAGTTTCTCTCCAAGTTGGATGTAGCAGGGGCAGATGCAGGCTGAATTCTTCCATCCTTTTTTACCAAGTTTCAGCATATTCCTGGTTGGAGATACTTGGCAGCATCTTTCTTCAAACTTTGGTCTGTCCCACATAAAATCAAATGGAATCACTTGAACTGTATTAATGGATTTGGGATCAGATCCAGAGGTTGCTAGGGCATCTTTTCATTAGCTCTGGAAAAAATTATCTTCTAATTATAGACTGGCACTAAATACTAATATACAAAATGTGCCATTTGGGACCCAATTCTAAAAGATGTCAACCCAAGACTCACACATGGAAGATGCAGCGGTGCTGAAATGCATTTACCATGACTTCTGCAGGCAAAAACATAGCAGCTGTACATACATTGCTGTGATTACAAATACACAGGCACAACTCAGGGACAGAAGAAAACCCCAGCTGCAGCTTGGAAACCTGCCCCAGTGCACTCACCCTGGTAAAGAAGACTTAAATCCCCCAATGCTTCAGTGCTGCTGCCTCTTATAAATAGCAGGTTCCTCTTCTTGGCTAAGAAGTGAGGTTTTAAATACTTGCAATGTTTTTAAAAACAAGAGGACTTGAAGCATAGAAGCAGTGCACGGTTGAACTGCTTTGGTGCACCCCATCATCCCAAACATGTTTTGGGTGGCTTGCAGAGCCTTCCCCAGTTACTGCCCATCCCTTGTTGCTGTGGCTAATGACCCTTCTCTTGGAGCCCAAAGCAGTTGTGTGTGTGGCCCTGGCAGGAGGCAGCTTCAGTCTGCAAAATAAAATCACAGTATGGTTATTTTCCATTTAACGCTGGAATTACTGCTCAGATAGACCCATTGTCACTGAGGAGCAAGGATTTTGAGGGCCTAAGTTGCTGCTTGCTTTGCAGTTTTGAGACCTTCACTTTGCTAAATAAACACGCAAGAAAAATTGCTGCCCTGGCACCCATACGCACAACCCACACTGTCTTCAGTGCATGTAGCAGGAGGCAAAGGCTGGGTCATAATCCTTTCCACGTAACAAAGAAATCTGTACTGTGGGATTTGTCTCAAAAACAGCCCTCCTCTCCTTGGGTTTCCTTTGTGTCCAGGGCCAAATCTCTCTGAAGGCCCATGATGAGGGGTACCAAAACATGAGTCAGAGGAGACGTAAATGCTGTGGGATTCCTTCCTTCATGTAAATCACAAACAAACATCATGACTTTGTTTGTGGTTCAAGTAATTATGAGCTAAAGACATCAGGAGGCAATGCTGTACAGTGACAGTGACTTAAGAATGGAATTATTGTTCATTTTAGAATGGCACTCTCAATGGGTATTCACGTCCTACCTCCATCACCTGCTCCAGCCATCAGGAGAGCACAAAGTGCTCTGGGTGAGAATTTAGGGCTGCTTGGGGTAGTTAGTGCTGGTCTCTGGGTATGAGGGAAAGATGCAGTGGGAACCATGAGTGAGCATGGAGCATCCCCCCTTCTGAAGAAGAACCTATAAAAATCAGCTCCTGACCCCCCTCACTTTGTCCTCTTGGCACCAGGTCACAGGGCTGCAGGAATGGACTCTCAGTCCTCCCTGTGCTTCCTGTTCCCCCCACACTCTCCGGTATGTGACTGCTCACACCCCAAGCTCTGGCAAGGCTCCCATTCCAAAACAGAACATATGCTATAGTGAGAGAATTGGACATTAATTTTACACAGCATCATGGCCTCTAATACCAAGCACATGTGTCATCGTGGTTATCTTGTGAAGTCAGGAAGAGTTCTTGCCCGATGATTTATTCAGTGATGTAGGAAGGGATCTTTGTCATTGTACCCATGAAGCTCAAACACTGAATGTTTACACCTATCCTGGTATGGTGTGGAAAAACGTCTTCATTTTATTCTGTGCAACCCTGAAACCAGACAGTTATGGCTTTATGAAGAATTTGCAGAACTGATACCTCTGAACTTGAAGTGCTTCTCTTTCCCATTATCTTTCCAAAAAATGTATTTGATGGGGTTGAGGCAGATAAGGTATTTATTGAAATCTGTGAAATTCCTATGAAATGCTTTAGTTCTTGAGAAACTATAAAGTGGTGTGCTCTTCCTTTAAGCCATATTGATGCCACCACTGCACAGAGATGCTTAATCTAGAGGACTTCTGAATTGGAGTTTATTTAGATTCTTAACATATTTTTTGTGACCTCCATGATTTAAGGTCAGAGACTTCAGCAGGGAGTCCATGCAAGTTGTCACTTTAATCATTTTAGTTCTAAAGATTCATTAAAGTTATGCGAATTGACCTAGATATTCAGACCCTGCTGAGGGAGTGAGGTTCTGCACCAGCCTGGGAGGGTTGACCTGGATACATCATCTGGTAATGAAATACCCGAGCAAACCCACTGAAAGTGTCAATTAGATTAATAAGGCTACTAAAAGGCAAAACCCCTAATTCCCTAAGTGGTAGTATTGGATATTTATAGATAGCTGTAGATGCCGATAACACTTCATGGCAGACCGCGCACCCACCCCGAGCTCAGGCAGCAGATTTCCTCTGTCAGGTCTGTAAAATCCCCATTTATCCCCTGCACCCATGTTCATAAGGTGTCACTTACAAAACATAAGGCACTTTTACAAGACTGTTTTAAAACCAGCCCAAGACGTCAGCGTTGAAAAGAGAACTTTATTAGCAGGGGTGGGAATATCCCATAACACAGTCCTATTTGCTGTTGGGTTTGTGCTTGTTCCCCCATCAGGAGTATGTTTCACAGTCATTTAAACACTCGAGCTGAGCTTCCAGCAACAAGTCCATTAATAACTCCTGCTTCCAGGAGGTTCTAATATTGGGTTAAAGATACCCTGAAGACTCAAATTCCTTTGCTGTTAAGATCTGCCATCCAGAAGAGGAAATCTCTGTTTCTTTTGGCTGTTCCTCATGAAGGGAAGACACTCCATTTTAAAAATCTTTCCCCATCACCTATGAAAATGAGTTAAAAACCTGTACTTTTCTCAAATGTGTCCAGAAATGCTGCTAAGATTGCTGCCACCTTCCTCTGTTCCTCACCAGCCTCAGAGCTTAGCAGTAACGGAGCAGAAGGTCTGATCCCTGAACCTTGGATTGCAGTGGGGCTTTGCAGCCACAGTCTGTGGCTCAGGAGGTTCAGTCTGGACATTTGGGAAAACTTCTTCACTCAGAGAGCTTGTGCAGCATGGGAAAAGGCTGCCAGTGGGGTCCTGCTGTCTCCATCCTTGTCTGGACAGAGCCTTGGTTGACCAGGTATGAGGCTGGGGAGATCCCTGCTTCACCAGGGTGGAAGAGTCCATGGGTCCTGTACCTCCAGCGTTCCTGGGATTCAGTGGGGTCAGCGCCAGTGTTTGGCACAACCATGGAGTCAGAGGAGGCAC